GATTAGTTTTTCATAGCTTTCTAAACCTCTCATAACTTTCATTCTCTCAAACTCAAAACACTCGAAAGAACTTTACACTAGCTTTTAGCGTAGTGCATTTTTGTTAACAAACACAAAAGCTTTCAGCTACCCTCAACCTATTCATTCCCATGAAGATTGCTCAAGGAAAGCATGGGTTCCGCAACTTCGAGAAACAGTTGCGTGACAAACCCATTCTTCCTCTCGTCTCATTGGTATCTCTAGGTTAACGAATAGAAAACTATCTTCTCTTTTTCTCAACGAGAGAGATATATCAAGGATCGTAGATCGGCTTCCGCGGGAGACTATAAAGTGTGATAGAGTAGGTTGCGGTAGTAATCCTACGTCTCTCCACGATCCTAAAACGGAACGCGTGGAAGGTTGTCTAGCCTGGATCTAGTAGCGTGGAAGTACTCCACGCTGGCTAAATATCTAGAGCGATGTTTCATCATCAACCTAGTTATGACTAGCGCGGTCATTGAGAACCCTGTCTCAAATGACTATTCACGAGAGACTCAGTCATGAGTCGAACTCAAACCCTATCTAGGATCGAGTCGCGAATAAGGCTAAGAGCCGTGTATTGCACTCGTCTTCGGTCTCCTGTTTTCCTTCGAACTTGTGGCCTCCAAGAATACGGATAGTAGCAATCTTCTTGCGCTTGCACACGACAGTAATGCAATCAGCCATGGTAGAAGCGATCCTACCAGTGTTGGAAGAGTTCTTGATGCGAGAAATGATGTCTTCGAAAACGTTTGGTGGCAAGAACCTATCTCCAGTCAACGTCACAATCATTGTCACATCGTCCTCGACGCCAAGGCTAAGGGCATGATCAACAGCTTTCTGGAGTCTCTTAATGGAAGATTCAGACAGGGCATCGAAGTGGTTCTTGACATCTCTTCCAGTCGCCTCCAAGAAAGCAATGTGCATTTCGGTCGTCGAGAAGCCCATGGTAGGATGCTACGATTGTTGGTGTTGGTTTTGCTTTGACTGGTCACTGTTGAAGGATAATGAGCTCTGGCTCTCTTGATGGTTGCTGCTGCATTGGATGGCGGCTGCCTGCTTTGGTGGAGTGTTCAAATTCGAAGGAAATTTTGCTGCGGCTTTCAGGTGAAACCGAGGAGACTCGACTCGACTCCCTCCCACCACTCCTCCCATTTCCTTTTGACGCAACAATTCGTACCACACAAATCCGAGATATGTGGAAGATTCTTGCAGCAGTCAACCAAAGCCAAGAAGGCCTAGCGGCTAAAGGCGTTGCTTTCCTTGAAGTGTTCATCAAGAAAGACAATGACAAGCCCGATGCCACTTTGACCGGTCCTATCAGCATCCAACGTTATGGCTCGACTCCTCTCTTTCGCATTGTCGTGCATAACACCGAGATGACAAGAAACATTGGCGCCTTCTGCCTTCCTGTCGATTGTGTGTGGACTTGCAAACATAGAGTGGTCAAGAGCAAGAATAGTGGAAGGAAGGCTGTCAAAGCAACTTTGTCTTTTGATGAAGGTAGTGTGGAAGGCTTCGATCGGTTTGACGTCACTCTTGCTTATGATGGCATCAATGGAGAGTCAAAGCTACTCGCAGAGTCCCTTGTCTTTGCTTCCCAAGAAGTGGTCGAAGCGGTCTACACCTCCGAAGCTGAAGCCAATGCCTCCGACGACGAAGATGAGTCCTCCGACGGCGAAGACAAGTCGGACATGGAGACCGATGAGGAAGAGGACGATGCCAAGCCCAAAGCAACAAAGAGAGCCGCCAAAAGGGATGCTCCAGAACATCCCAACGATGTTATGTCTCCCTCTTCGATTGCGATCAAGAGCCCACCTTTGAAGCGCACACGCATTGATTAAAGAAGCCATGGTAATGAGGGTAGTTGTAATATCAACCTATAGATGAGACTATTTATCCGTACGAAAGCAACATCGGCTATTCATGCAGCGTTTGTCTCGTCGCTAGGCTGTGCACTTGTCGAGTAGTACTCCTCCGTTTCAAGGAGGAAGTCGCTTTGCTCACGTTGCTTAGCAACGATTGGAGCTACCTTTGTTTCCTTTTCCTTTATTGAGCTTTCGAGTTCCAGAAGCTTTGCTTCGAAGCTTTCTTTCGACAACTCCAATGATTGCAATGCGGCCATCGCTTCGTCTGCCTTGTTACTTGATTTAAATACACCAAACATCTTTGCCACAGTCTTTCTGTTGTCGCCTTTCACTTTATCAAAGTGCCAGTGAGTATCCGGCATGTCATTCACCAGTTTCTTTGCTCCCGCCACAAGCGATTTGAGTTTGTCTAACTCATCTAGTAGACTCTTTTCCTCTTTTTCTGTTGCCTTGAGCTCATCCTCTTTGATCTGTCGTTGAATGAGAATGCCAGCAACGATGCCACTCTTGCCGAGGTGAGTGGAAGTGCCCGGATAACGCCTGCGTTTGCGTCTTTCTTTCTCTCCGGCCTTTGCTTTCAACTCAACCATGACCTTGACCAATGCTGTCTGCATATAGTGAGAGATGGCACTGATATCACCACCACCAAAGCTCACATCAATATCTTTGGTCGTATCTCCTCGGGTGACCACAACTGTGTCGGTGTAGGGCTCACGAACGACGTCTTCAAAGTCGCCATAGAGGTCTTCCAACTCAACCGCTTCTTCCTCCATTATTGCGGCCAACTTGGCATAGAAGCGAGGCCGCTTTGTTGAGAGTTGTTGTGCTTTGTCTTCGAGGTTTCTTTTCAAGCGTCTGCTTCGGGCTATCTCTTTGGCTTCTTCATACATTGAGGCATTGAGCTTCTTCCTGGCAATTCGTTGTTTCTTTCGGCACTTCTTCTTGTCTTTGACTGTGAGCTTGTAGCTTTCATCATCCTTGGCATCATAGCATTGGTCGAGGATGTCACCAACAGTCATAGTAACCCAATTTTGGCTAAGCCTTTGCTCGCAATCTAGAACAAGAAAAGTATCAGCCTTTTGCTTTGTCAAATTGAGTATTCCACCATCTGCTTTCCGTCGGAGCACAGTTGCAAAGCCAAGCTTTACCAGCGCAAGCTTTGTCCTCAATTTGTCTCGTGCGATTGCCTCTTTGGTCAACATACAAGTAGTGTCGACATGGTTGTCCTCTGTCAATGCCACAAACTCTACAAGTTTCAACGCAGCATGCTCAAATGGTTCGTGTGGTGATGGCGGCTGTGACATGTCTCTTTGCTCATCGAGAGTGTATTTGCCAATGAGATGCTCAGCAATTGCCATTGCCAAGCAGACCAGAGGCAGTTCCCTCAGCGACAGTTGGGCAGGATCGTCAGTGGACTCATTATCTCCGTTGTTTGCAATAAGAAAATCGTCCAAGGGAAGAAAAGCGCGGATTGTTTCTTTCTCTTGTTCCGACAGCTCAGAACGTTTCTCTGGTGGAATGGCTCTTGCAGCCCAAATCACGTTGGGCAATTGTAGGCCTGCGTCTCGTTTTTGTTGTTTGATCAGACTGTTCATTTTGCCAAAGCCACGGATGGCAGTTTGCCATCCTTCATTGTCATAAGACATGGGGTAGAGGCCTGTCTTCTCAAAGCTGCTCACGACAGCGTTCCTTCCAGTGCGCCGAAGTTCATCATTTTGATCAATGCAGTTTTTTTGGAGCCCTTGGCGAAAGATCCTATTTGCATCTCTATAATCGAGAGCCGATCCAACCATCAGACCAAGGTCATGGGCCGTTTGCGAGATATCTTTGGCCGATGTCTCATTCTTTCCATTATCGCATGGTTGGGACCAAATACTCGTCTTAGATGGAAGCACGAAAATGAGAATGTTGTACTCAAAGAAAGCAGTGAGAAGGGACTGTGGACACTCTCGCGAACAATGCCAATCCAAAAAGAGCACCACGCCATGGCCGTTTGGACCTTGGTCGTGGGGTAGTTGGTTCTTGAAATGAAGGATGAAATCAAAGAAGGTTCTCTTCAACATGCTGCCGGTTGGAGTGGTTCTGATTTGAAATCCAAATGGATTGACAAGTGTATCTCTTTTTCCCACTTGATAATCATCGAACCATCCATCGTAGACTCCAGGATTCAACTGAATGGTGTCGTCTTCACTCTGATTTACGAGAAGTCGATCTCGACTTGCCTTATCCATTGAATCGAGCTCACTAGAGCTGGATCCGTCAGAGATCAAAATGTATGGTGCTGGGGCTCCTTCCACACACTCTTTGGGGAGGCATTGAGCTCCATCCGCACGGACAATATTTGCCACACTGTAATGGAACGACATCTTTCCGTCTCCTTCTCTTGTATTTTGAAACAGCCTAGCGTGTCTCTCAACCAGTTCTCGCGGAATTAGAACTGGATTTCTCAATGCTGTTGGATTCGGTCCTTGCTCATCTGTATTGTAAATGCGTGAAGGAGGTACATCGGCATATCTTGCTTCAGGCCAAGCGATTGGGTTTACCTCGTGTGCGATCGCCATCCAATATTCCATCTGATGATAAAGTGCATTCAAAGTCTCCGGGCCCGCTTGTGCAGCTCTTTTCCGATCGATACCACCAACATTTGACATTGCTTTCAAGCGCCCAGCTTTGTAGACTCGCTCCACCGTGTCCATGCTGGGGCCACCGTTGTTGCTGGTGTCGATTCCCTCGGCTTCCAAAAATGCGTTTGCATATCCCATTAAATTGGTCTTCTCTAGAGGAAATCCAGCTCTGGCAAATTCAGCAACAGCCTCTTGCAAAGCTGCCTCCTCTCCCTGATCAAAATATGAGTTTGAAGAAGGACGGAGATCTCTTGCCGATTGTTGTTCCTTGTTTGTGTCAACCGAGAATCTGCCATCAAGCTTTGCTATGATTCTTGGATCATTCGGTGCGACATTCTGTGCAAGGTCGCTTTCAAAATCTAGCTCCCTCCAAACGTCAACAATCCGCTGATACGAATTCTCTGACTTGAGTACTTTCTGACAGTAGGAGTGGACCGACTCCTTCCGTTGCCCTGACCTTGCACTTGACAGAAAGTAGTAGATATCCACCAAGAGCTCTCGCCACTGCTCCTTGCTTCTTGTTACATTCTTATTGTTGTCTCGTTTTCTTGTCTTGTTGGCGAGATTCGGATCTTCATTCTCATTGCCCGAAGATGAGGATGCAACTGGAAAGTTTGATTTGATTTTCCCAAGCAGAGCTGGATTGCTGGTGCAGACTTTTGCTGCCAAATCATTCTCAAGACCCAACTTCTTCCACTGCGTGAGTGAAGATTGTTGGTCGGCACGATTTGTGCACCGGCACAATCTTTCCATCCGTTTTGATCTAAGTAGCGCGCCAAAAGAGGTTAACCAAGCGTTACAATCAGCGCGAAAAGACATTCCGCCCATAGTGTGAGAGGACTAGAAGAATTAGGGGGATGACATCTTATATGTGTATCTTATCTCGCATACCCTATCTTCTATGCTGACACCCCATAGTCTACTAGCTACTAGCTAGTAACCATTCTCCGCAATTTGCGATTTGATGGTTCTGTCCAATTCAATGTTGGCTGCCCATCGTTGAGACATCATATTCCTCCAAAGCTTTGCTCCCTTCACATAATCAGCGAGATTCCTCTACCTCTTGTTGCGAGCAATCTCCGAAGCTTCCTCCTTTATCTCTGTCCAGAAGCGGCTTTGCCAGACGTTCTCTTGCTTCGCGATCCAATAATATTAGTCCAGGTCTCTATTTGTTCCTTATTAGCACGCTATGCAGCATGCTGGTGATAGTACCCACGAAGAGGCGTGCAGCGTACCCATAGGAGGAATTGCACGTTGGTTTCCCAATGACTTTGAAACAGAAGGGGTAGATTGGGCAGCATTTGAAGAGCATCTCAACATGGTTTCGGATGTGGCGTTTGAAGTCACCTCGGCGGCCACAAGAACCATAGCTTCAAACTTGCCATCATCAGCACCCCTCCAACCGAGGCACATTGCCAAAGGAGTTGGCGCGATCCATTTTGCAGTCTCTTGCAGCAACCCAACAGCACCAAAGTCAGTAATCCAACGACTTATGGATGCCAACCCGGACGCCGTGCAGCTTACAGAATCAAAGTATGGATGGAATGTTCTGCATTGTGCTTTGCAGTTCAACAAGGCATGGTCTGCTCCAGATGGGGACTGCGACAAGGAGGGAATACTGGAAATGCTGCTACATGCAAGGCCTGACTTGGCGACCGAGGGAGCTACTTCCTTGGACGAGTTTGGCTTGCCGCCTCTGGCCTTTGCTAAATCCAAAAGCGTTGCCTCAAGGCTGGTTAGAATCATGCCAACCAAGGCGACAATCTCCATCTTGAAGAAGATCTTCCTAAAACGAAAACTAGTGGGAGGGTCCATTGAAGCCATGGAGCAGATTGTACGGGAAATCTCAACTCTGGAGCTACAGCTGGGGCGGTCCATCCTGGCAGAAGGAATCCTACCTGACAAGAACCGGGCTCGCAAACAATCTCTAATCGAGTACACGCTGCTCCAATCCACCACAGGTCGAAGTGATAATAAGAATCATCAAGAACCTTTGGCCTTGATGCGTCTCGTGGACCTCATCATACAGGCAACCTACTGCTATGGATTTCGTAGGGCTTCTGAAGAAGACTGCGTCACTTTGAGTACGAGTCCACCACCTCTCGAGTGCCTCATGAAACTTGTCGCAAAGCAAGTGTTGATGCAGAAGGTTCTGGAGCTGTATCAAACCGCCAAAGTGGGGGGAAGCACTGAATACTTTGAGTACCCCGTCACCGCAGAACGACAGTCAGGATATGGTGTGATTGGTGCATCTGCTTCGGGAGAGACAAACAGTCAACCTAGACACTTGGATAGGGCTTCTGCTTCGACCGAGAAGATATTACAAGATTATGGGCCAAGCACGTTTCCTTCTTCCAATTCTCAACATCTAGACAAGCTGCTGAAATGCAAGGAGGAACTGGATTTCAAGATCCAACGATCTCTGGATGTTCTGCGGCAAACGGCAGCGTCCCTTCAGAGCTACAAAGACATGTATACCAAATCCGTCGAGAAGCTCTGCACTGAGGCACAGTCCTTATCACTTGGATCCAACGACGCGAGCTCATCAATGTGTGAGAATCCCATTCACGTCGGTCTTGTTACGGATAATGTTGCGTCACTACGAGCCCTTGTGGCGGTCTCCTCGATGCCGCCCTCGCCTCCCAAGCGTCAAAAGTCAGTGGAATCTTCTGCAAACGATGGTACTAGTCGTATCAATCGTCACGTTTTGGAAGAGACAATGGAGGGGGCCATTGAGAACATGGCCGCAGCCGGTCTTGCCCTAGACCTGTATAACCGAAATATTCGCACGGAATCGACGACTCTAGTTCAGCAGCAAGAAGACTTGAAAGCCATGGATATGAGCTATTTCAAGAACGCGGAGCACCAGCAATCTGCCAGAGCCATTATCTGTATAGCTGAATACCAGCTGCAAAAGGAAGGTCTCCAAAAGTGCATTAACGACATTAAGCGGGAACTGAAAGAAGCCGAGAGTCTTGGCGACCGAAAAGCTCAAACGTTGCGTACAAACGAACTTGACCTGCGGTGGGTCAAGCTAAGCACAGAGATTCGCGATCTATCTCGCGAAATTGAAATCATGCGAGAGATGGTCTCTGACAGACGGCAGGACCTCGGCGGCTACATGATCAAAGCTCGACGTATTCTGCACAACTCACGAGCATCCAATAAGGTAGTCCGGACGAGAGCCTCTCGATTTCTCCGTGAAGCCAAGAAGGAGATGCGGGAGATCATGGCGACATTGGCACCAGCGATCCAAGCCAGGAAAGGCAGACTGTGTAATCGTCGCCAACGGCGGAAATTTCGACAACATCAACAGCAGCAGCGGGAAGAAGAACTGCAAAGAGCCATTGAAGAAGATGAAGAACTGTCGCGAATGACGAAACGGCTCAAGCTGAGCTAGCTAGGGATCACTTCGTTGGAAGTCCGCCTTACTTGATTCCTGGGGAGTTGCGCTATAGAGTTGGCGTCATTGTCATTTATAAATCCATAAAACTCACTTTTTAAAAATGTATGATGCGTAGTCATGTTGACTTTTTGCACACTCCACCGTGCAACCAAATACTGGTATATCGTCGTTCTAGCGCCCCTTCGAACTGCTCTCCCTCCCCGCTTGATATTTGTCAATTATTCTTCCACATATTGATTGATTCGACTTCATTCGATTCTACATGTAATGTAATAATAACCTCTTACCAACCATATTTCCTCTTGGCACCAGCCCGTTGACTGTTTGTTTTTCCACCCTGTCGTGCCTGTTGGAGCTCAAAATTGGCAGCACTGGCCATGAGCTGATTGATTTGATTCTTTCCTCGTGCCCGGACGCCCCCCAGATTGGCTTGTACATCGGTTCCCGCCTTGGGGTTGTACATGGTTGTGGCAGCAACACGCACCCCATTGGCGGGTACCGCATAGGTTTCTTGTTGAGGAATGTAGGCGGTTGGGTCCACTTGATCCATATTGGTGACGGCAGCCGTGTTGTTTTGTGCTAGTGCCTGATCCAATTGTCCGGCTCGTAGTGCCTTTTGCAATTGTCGTTTCTTGGATCGACTGTTGCCAGTATTAGTAGTAGCAGCAGTAGGAATGCTATAATCTGGCACTGTAGCAGGAGGAGGTGGGGCTACCACGTGTCGATGCGTATTGTCGTACATACCGATAGCTGGCATGGGCACAGGAGGCGCGGCAGCTACTTTGGAAGTGGGAAATCGATGAAATGCGGTTCGAGGGGACAGAGAGAGAGGTTTGTAGTGGGAAGGCGATCCATTTGTTGTCTCGTCATTTCCAGTGGGCGTTGCTGGAGCCTCATCCGGGACAGTCGTGTCACTCTTGGTAATAGTGGAACCGTCCTTTTTGGTTCTGGTTATTGTCGTCGTAGAAGTGACCGAGAGAAAAGCAGCTCCGAGTTTTGACGAATCTTTCTTTTTGTTGCTGTGGTTCATTTTAGAGAGAGAAGTGGACGTATTCATGGTCTTGGCAGAACTGAGTGCTGACAAGAAATTGGCAATGCCTGGATCTGTCGAAGCCGCTTTCTTCTTGGAGGCTGTGTTCTTCTTCGTTGACTCTTCCTTTTTGTTGTTGAAATCATCTTCATCCGAACTGTCACTGATATCTCCAGTAGCCTCGCTCTTCGTGAGCTGTTCTAGAATGTGTGTGGGAAGAACACTATGAAGCGAAATCAACTTTTTCCCTCGACTATTCGTCTTCGCCTTGCCTGTCTTATTCGCAACACCAGCAGCTGCAGCGGGGTTCTTTTGCACGGTGAGCTTTTTGGGACTGGGCATGGCAGGAGGAAGAGCGCCTTCGTGGACATTTGTCTTTTTTATCGGTGTAGGAGGAGAGATACTGCGATCGCTGGCAGCATCGTCGTCATCATCCGAGCTACTGTAGTTACCAAGGAGGTCCATCGTCGTCAACAAAGAAGTTGAAAGGAGGCTTGTTGCTTTTGATGTTGCTGCTGCTTATTTGATCGAGGGTGTAAAGAGAACCCCGCGTTTCCACTTTCCACGCTGTGGAAGCTTGAAGCACCATTTGAAGCGGTACTTGAAGCGATAATGATTATCTGCCCTTTTTATCTCTCTCACCCCCTCAAGGCATACTTTTCAAATTTCAATCTTGCTGGAATTGTTGTGCGGCAACTCAAGCTCACACCAAGCACCAAGCACCAAGCAGAAGCAGAAGCCGCAACACAAGTCATTCCACAGAATTTCTGCATTGAAAGACGACGAAGACCACCACCACCACGACCATGATTGCCCGCACTACCATTATCTCGTTGCTTGCTGTTGTTGCTGCTGTTGTTGTAGTGGATGGCGCTGGTTGCCATGGAAATAGTCGATTTCGGTTAGCGCCCATGACCAAGGGTGCATCCACGACCGAAGAAAAACAAAAGCAAGGGATGGCTTCCATCGACGAAAAGGCGGCGTACTGTCAAGACGAATTTGGAGAAGACGCCACCTTGATGGATCTCAGACTCATGGAAGGAGAATTCCCCAATGCACAAGACCTGCAACATGCTCTCAATCCATTGTTTGAAGAGGATCCACTAGCGGTATATTACATTACGGACCATGGCGAGGATACGATGAAGGATGCGCTCAATCACCACGATCACGGATACGACGACCACGTCTTTAAATATATATTGGCAAAGGAGGAAGACCATACCGCTAATGCCCACTGGAATCCTCAGCGAGTGGCGGGCCAAGTCTTTCTCGAAACACGTCCGGTCAACGTCACGGCGGCTCTGGCTAACGCACACATTCTGTGCTACATTGCCAAACCCAAATACACCACCATCACCAAGGTGGCGTCGACCAGGAGCAGCCCCATGGGAAGCAACAGCAATTTCAAGGAGATGGAATACATGCCCATGATGGAAGAGGAATCGTCATCGTCCTCATCATCAGGGGGTGGAAACCGATTCGTCTCCTTTTTGGCCGTGGTGGCTGTGGGAGCCATTGCCATGGCAGCAATTCAGACGTACAAAGCCAGACAAGCCAGCAACATGATGCAGGCAAATCCATTCGCTGCTCAACCATCTGATTTTGGTGGATCCTATCGTATCTTGTCGACGAATGGGAACCATGATTTGACCCAGCAGTTGAATAATGACTTGGAATTGGCCTAGCTAGATAGGCAAGAAGGAAAGGTTGCTGGATCTAACTAAGGTTGCCTAAATGAGAGGTAATAAATATTACATTTTTGCACAATCAATAGATCCTGTGTAGTCTTTCGGCTCTTCAAATGCAAATCAATTGGATTGTTTGAACACACACGACCGGAAGCAATTCGTAGCGCCTCATAGGAATAGAAATGCGTAGGATGTGCGTCAATGCAAAACATGGATGATGCTGCCATCCTCAAGGCCCCATGTTTGTGGCGTGTCATCGGGGCCGATGTGTACTGCAAGTCTAGCCAGTTCAAGCAGAAATGCGTCTCCTTGGCGAAAGACATACACTTCAAACGCTTTACTCATCTTTTGTGGCTGTTTCACAATGAAACAGGTATCTTCTCCCATCTAGAAAGAAATACAAGAGAATAGAAGATGGTGATATTGATGAAGATCTTATTGCAGCGGCCCGCAACACCCAAAATGCACTGTAATAAGATCCAGGTTACTCACAAGATCGCGAACTTCAATGGCAATGAGTTCTTGCCCCCGGTCTTCCATAAGTTTCCGTACCGGTACCGTACCTGGTACCGGTATTTACAGTACCAGGTACCGGTACATGTTACTTGTCCCGGAAAGAAACTGTTTGCTTGCGAAATGTGCGTCTCCGTCATCGTCTTCTTCCATGATATCAATCATGAAGGCAAAAACTGTCTAAGACAATAGGTTAGAGGCCACGTCGACGTCTCCCAGTATAAAGTGCTTTCCAACCAGCTTATCAGTGGCCTCCATCCGCTCATTGACGATGCCATCATCAGCATCAACATCAACATCAACATCACTGTTGGTAGTTGCCCAATGGTTGAGGAGTTCAAATAGGTTGCATACGTCACTATCATTACGGTCATATTGAAGGATCTCGTCCAACGCGGACAAGCTCAAAGGGCCAATCATACTCGCAAACTTGCTGTCGAAATGACCCATGCGTTTCTTTTGAATGATGCTTACTGCTGTGGTCTTGAATCCAGAGAAAGACCCGCCCTTTCTCCAGCGCATTCCTTCACAGTGGGCAATGACAAGCTTGGTTCCTCGAGCATCGACTTTTGAACGGAATCAGCGGCCTTCTGAAAGAGCGCTGGGAGACACAAAAGAAGCCTCCAACATGGCTGAATCTGATCGACTTGATCATCATTGGCTGTGGGTTGAAAAGTCCTCGGTACCACAAGCGAAATGACAACTCGTACCGGTACATTCGAACTTGTCTACAGAGTTTGGTTGGAGGTTCGAGGAAAGATTCTCTCATTTTAAAACCCGTAACCCTAATGATTGCCGTCTCATTTTTCTTCGTTTGATCGCTCTCTCAGCTCTCACGTCACATCGACAGCTACCGGTAGCTTACATTTGATTGACCATGATGAACCTCTGAAACAACTACTACGCGTAGTACTTGAGCGACAATCATAATGAAATTCACTATACCAAGTGCTGCCAGCTTCCTGTGGCTCAGCTTGCTAGTAGGTTTGACCACTCGATACCGTGATGGATTGGCGGCAGCAGCCTCGGCTTCGAACCCACAACTAGACCTTCTGACTCCTGATGTCAAGGCGTTGGTTTCACAGATTGCAGCACTAAGAGCAACGAATGAAGAGCAGCATGCAGATCTGTGGCGAAGACTGGGAAAGACACAGTTGGATGCACGAGAGTATGGCGAGGCACGTCGGATATTTTGTCGGGGCTCGGAACTCTGTCCCAGCGATGAGAAACTCCGCCATCATGTAAAAGTATATGATACCTTCCAAGGTGAAGCAGAGTTTTTGGAGGAAACATCAAGTACCGGTAATTCGGTAGTACCACAGCCATTAGAAATAAAACCGACCGTGGCCGGCAAACCAGATTTAATCCTCAGCTTGGATGTACCGAGGGAAGCCATTCCTTTGGCTATCAAACGGTGGAAAGGCAAGATTCCTCCAGAGGACAGGTGCAGACTCATTCATGCTTCTACAGAACCTATTCTGTCACGAGATGCTTGCCAATATCTAATTCAATCCGCACTGGAAACTGTCAAACATCGAGGGTGGACCAAGGACCGTCATGTGCAGGCGCCCACTTGCGACATTCCCGTGTTTGATCTGCCAGTAGCCGCCAAGCAGTGGTGCCGTCATGCCATGAAACAATCACTGTTGCCACTGCTTGCCACCACGGTTGCCCCGGAGCTCGACATTGATCCAAACGATCTACACATTCAAGATTGTTTCATTGTCAGATATGACGGTGGTGGCGAGGAGAGCGGTCCAGGCTTTGATTCCTTGCGACCTCATGAAGACGAATCACTACTTTCCTTGACTATTGCACTCAATGATCAATCCGAGTATAATGGCGGCGGCTTGTACATTCACTCCACTGGAGATTTATTGAATGGGGATGCTGGAACTGTACTGTGTTTTGCCGGACAACTGGTCCATGGCGGATATCCTGTCGTACAAGGGACACGATGGATCTTGACAGTATTCTTATACGTTGACGCCAATGAATCGGGAAAGCCTGTTGGGTACACATTGGATGCTCTCCAGGCGTTACAACAGAAATGAAAACGGACAACGACGACAATTCACGAATATCCAAGCTGCCTCTACAAAGAACAGACCTTCCCTGTTGCGCGTAGATGGTATGGTATCCTTCACTCCGAGACTTGCAGTCATGGTCGTAACGATCCCGGACATTACCACTTGTTTGAACGCTCGTCCATGTGACCTGTATGTGGGCCGTGTTCTGTTGACATATCAGGAAACATATCACTCATCTGGATAACTAAGCTAATACCTACCGTAGCTCCTCGTGACGTATGGTATATTCCCTCTCCCTTTTCTGCACCTGCGTACCCCCACTGAGCGCATGGGTCAGGTTAACCCAGCGACCCACCGTTGGTGCCGGGAAGAGATCACGAACGCTTCGGCTCCAGCACCGTTTACTAAACTTTTCCCCCGGTGAAGCTCAGCTGTCAGATGAATGTCAAACCAATGGCCAGCTTGTTGGAAGACGGCACCAGTAGCGCTACGAGTAGTACTTGTCAGCATTAGTCTGAATATTTTCCTCAAGGAAAGATATGAATACCATGTGGAAAGCACCTACCGTACTAGTACCACTTCAGCAAACCCCAAGTCTCCGGAACTCGTCCAGTACGGCTACAGCTACTCCCGGCCCAACCAATGGTTCCCAACCAGTGGCTCGTTGAGGAGGTTGCCAGTACGAGTACTCCTAGCTAGCTAGCTAGATTGATGAGGCCTCTCATGATGAAAACAAACTCGCGTGACTGAAATCCTAGCTAGCTACCTTGTGATCTTTGAACACCTACTATTATTATTATTGTTATTCCCAAAGCGTATCTTGGATCTTCGCGCTTCGATCGAACCATGGAAGCCTATTTTGTGTACCACTTCAAGTTGTCCACCGTGCCGCAACCCTGAACCGATAACCTACAATCATTGGGGCGGAAAGAGCCCCACACTCCGACAACCGCCCACAGCTGAATTCCCTGTTATGGACAACCATGGAGCATGATGGTGGCAATACAGAACTGTTCACTGCTTACCCAGGAAGGCCTCTCGAGCGACTGGGAGATGGCGGCGTCAACTCGATCTCACATTTCAGTGTCACCGTGCACAACTGGGATCCAAGCAATTCAGACCAAGCGGTCCAATTGATCACAAGCTCCATTCGAAATTCGACATGCCTCCAACACATCAACATTTTTTTTGCGTCAAGATTGCGTTCCGTATTCTCTCATCGGCTTGCGGCTTTGGTGATGGATGCTGCTGCAGCCAATGCCAACTCAGCTTCAGTCAGTGTTTTTCTGCAGCGCTTGAGTCCAGTGCATGTCAGGCCGAGTCTAGTAGAGATGCTATCTACCCCTGCTGCCCGCCTTCTTGTCCAGAAAGTGAAATTATCACCCGCTGGGGGGGACCAAGTATTGCACCCACAAGACATTCAAGCGTTGGGAGTAGCATTATCTCAGTTGACCAATCTCCGCGAATTGTCTTCTTGGGTGGGAGATCTCTCAATGCTGCGATATATGGCAGAGGCCGACGATCCCACATGTCACATACAAGATCTTGTGGTGGAAGCTGAGAGCCACTTGGAAGGCCTGGCAGCCTTTCTCGGCAGTACTGTTGCCGCAGGCCTGAATAATCTGGAACTATACATGGAAGGCAGGACCAATTTGGCCAATATTGCTACGCTCGGCCAGGCACTGAACGACCATTCTGCCATTTCGAACTTCAAGGTTTATTACAGTCGAGCTTCGGGAGCTGGATCGACCCAAGCATTTGCCAACTTTCTGCAGCAGTTGAATAGACCATTGGAACTAGATCTGGCCTTTGATGGGGACGAAGAACTGCCATTCCTTACCCGTACCACGATGTTCCAAACTATTCAAAATCAAAGGCACATAAAGAAACTTGCCATTGATTTTTGCATGGAGGATGCAGATGGGACACCTTTATTAGAGGCAACCCTTCGAGAAATCGTGAGTTTGAACGAAGGTTTGTGGGAATTGCAGTACAGATGCGACCAGGATGGAGCTTCCTACAATCAAAGTCACGTCCAAGGCATTGCCGAAGGACTGCGAAGACGTTGGCAACGAGGCCAGGATGGATTGAGAGTACTGTGCTTGGTAATAGATGGTCCACTTGATTATCTTACGCCACTCGTTGACGTGCTGCTGGACGACACGTTGCCACCCCCTGGAGCAGGACAGCGGTCAGTCCTTCAGAAGTTAGAGTTGCAACTTTCTATCGAGGATTTTCTTGCCAACCAAGACGCCGTCTTTAGACTCATTGGAAGCCACCGATGTCCTATGACTGCTTTTTCACTCGCTGTGAGGGTGCAAAATGATGATGATCGCCTTGTGGATGCAAGAAGGCAATTCGCAATGGTTTTGGAAAGCAATAAATCCTTGGAGACTGTCAGTGCAGTTCTCCCGACTGGAGCAAGCGACTTGGCGTTTGAACGAAGCATCCAGACCAGCGTCACTCGCAATCGGGTTGCCAAGATTGTTCACCGATTTGATACGGGAGAACTTGGTCATGAGGATGTGGGGACGACCCTAGATGAGGTCGAAGCTGTTTGTAACGAACATGACTTCGACGTAAAGCGGAAGGATGGCTTCTCGCTCACAGTGATCTATAGCTGCATCAAGAATTCGCGACAACGGGCGGAAATATTTGGTCGACTTGCACGGATCAACTAAACCCTTACGGCAGCCCTTGCGGCAGCATTAGCACCAGGGGGGCGTTGCGATTTGCAAGCCTAGCAAGTCAGTGTGTTTCGCATCACATGCAGGTGCGAATAGCTTTGGGTATTGCGCAAAATTAGTTTCATCTTTTCTTTACCTGCTTGCTACAGTTGACTCCTGCATATCCTGGACAAGTTCTTTCGCAGTCTCTCTTCTTATCACGAGTACTCCCTTCCTGGCAGGGTGAGACGCAACGGGCGCCATTTCATATGCTTCCTCGACTGTCAAGGTGGAATCGTATCTGTCCAACGCCTCCAGAGCCTGTTCCTTCCACAAGTCTCCCACGGATACGTTGAACTGCAGTGAAACAGCCAATCCCCTCAGCAACATGCTCGTCCTGTAAACGAGGCTAAGTTGATTCGGGAAATATGTGACGCCGTCCTGTTTGTGTAGTTCCTTGTGCCATGCGTGGTCCAGATGGTAGCTCTGGAGAGGACCAAACATGAGCTTGGCGAACTTGGAAAGGAACTCCGTGGAGTCATTCTTGGTCTGAATGCCCATGTCGCGAAATGCTGCCGCAATTACTTCATCCGGCTCGTTGTTTGCAACACTGACCAATAGCCTTGCCACTTGAGCCTGTTCTCGTCGGGTCAATCGACGGCACTGTCCAAAATCTATCAGACCAAGCTTGGGCTTTGATGAATTCTCATCCTCCACGACTAGAATATTGCCTGGATGCGCATCGGCGTTGAAACACCCCAGGTTGAAGATTTGATGACCGTGAACATCAAAAAGAGCATCGATCCACTCCTTTGTAAGAGCCATGCGCTCTGATTGCTTCGAGGCAGTACTGTGATCCTCGGCCCAAGTGTGAAGGCTGGAAGGTACCATTGATCCTAGCAGCGGTGTTTCGGACAAGATATCAATGGATTTCACTGACAATACAGTACACCACAGCTGCACTCGACGAGCCATGCGCACGGTTCCCAGCAATGAATTCACACTGACCAGCTTGCTCCCAATTTGTGCGGCTGTTCGTTGCCAGCTGCCTTGACTGGCTAGTGTTGACGAATCTGCATCGTTTTGCGATTGCGTTGATTCAGTTTCTGGATCGTTTTCCAAAGTATCGTCATTTACATCCCTTGCAGATTGATTGCCATTGGCAAATGCCTGCTCATTGGCCTTTTGACTATTGGTGTCGGCAGAAGTTCGCACAAGGCTTCGCAGTCCCTTCTTGGTATCAATTCCCAATGCCTGCAGCTGCCGTCTAGCTTCTTCCTCGAGTTTGGGACCTGGCAAATATGTCATGGTAATGATCTTTGAGGTGCATAATTCCGGGTAGACCTGAGGCACCACCACACCGCGCCTTTGATAGGGTGCTTTTGGATCCAACGAGGATTGATAAATGTCTTGCAGATTCCTGCGCTCCTGATCATAATCCAGTTCGGCAATGAATTGTCGGCTGAACTCGTTGAAGCTCAAGTTGGCAGCACTTTCATCCACGACGCCGAAAAAGACGCAAATCTTGAGGAAATCTCCCACGCATTGAATATCCGCGGGAATCTGCCACGAGGCATCTGGATATTGAATTTTGATAATGACTTGTCTGTCTTCGTCATCATCAACGTTGTTGTCGTTGTCATTGGCACGTAGAACAGCCTTGTGCGCTTGTCCGATGGAAGCGGCTCCACAAGGCACCGGATCGATGGATTCAAAAATTTCTTCTATTGGTCTGTTCAATTCACGCTCCAGCACTGGCTTGACGGATTCTTCAAAGGCCTCCCAACCGGGAACATCTGACTGCAAGGTTCTGAACTTGCTCCTGTAGCTTTCAGGGATAGGCAGCGTCGTCACGGACAACACTTGGCCCAGTTTGACATAGAGTCCCTTGAGTTCCAGCAGCACATTGAGAATTTCCGGAGCATGTCGTTCATGAAGCTCTTGCAGTTTTTTAGATTCTTGTTCATTTACTTCCTTGTCACCTTGCTGCTCCAAATATTTCTGATACTTGACATAGGGACTGCTACTGGCAAAATTCCAGTAGTAATCGAACACCACTGGGGCCACACCCTTCCAAAAGAGCAATTCTCGGCGCATCCCTCTTCCTTGTTCTGTTGAAACATAAGCAGCGACACCGGTTGTCGCCACGAGGGCACTCCCACTCACCACTTGGGCTGTGCCTCTGGCGACTCGTTGTAGTCCTACTCGTAACATGTTGGTGTGGGGGAAGTGAGTGTTTTGTGTGGTTGTTTGTTCTGCCGTTGTCTTTTTATGGCAACAATGATGATCTGTGTCATCGCTGAGGTACGAGTGCGTGGTGCCGTCCTGGATTTTTAGAATGATGCCAAAGATGGGTCAGACCTTTCACTCCCGCGGTTCTTGGAAGATCCACGGACGACACGAATGGAGAAACAGAAACCCCAACCCTTAGGCCAGTCAAGCAGGGCAGAATTGTCTGCAGCTTAACAGGCTTAATTGAGAAACCAATTTTTGCAGTACAGTTTCGGCCCGAAGCCCGAATACCGTACATGTATCTCACAATGGCGGCATGCATCACCCCGCCCCGTCACCAACTCCATAGCAAAGGCAAACCATGAACAAGTACAACGTGCGAGCGATAAGGAAAGGACTGGATGATTGTGTTCGTAACCGAGCTTGGAAGAAGTTGAGCGCATCGGTGACAGCTCTAATAAGGGATCCCAATCTCCTGGAAGCCGTGGTGCTGACAACGTCGAAATTGGCCAGTGGATCTTTTTTGCATGGCCTGGTGAAGCAAGACCATCATGAGAACGTCTTGTCGCTCGCCACGATGGTTGCGAGGGCGGCTCCTCATGCTCTGACAGTCCAAGATTCTCTACTTCAAACGCCAGTTCATATCGCCATTGCCAGGAATCAACCCCCGGAAATGGTGGATACCTTTCTGAGAATACTAAGCGGCCACGATGACAATAAGAGTCTATACCAAGTCCTTGCCGCACAAGACAAATTGGGAGAAACGGCTCTCATAAAAGCTGCCAAAGGTGATGATTCCAGTCAATATATTCCTGTACTCCTGCGGTACATGGTCCAGAAGAGTCTCGGGTCTTTGCTGCTCATTCAAGATAAACGGAAACAAAGAACAGCTCTTTCGTATGCTGTATCCAACGAGTTACACAATGCATACAAGTACCCTCAGTATGTGCCACCAGCAGAATTAAGATTGCTACTCATAGCAACCTATTTTGCAGTGGTCCAAAAACACGAGCAAGGAAACATCTGTGACCACGAATGGACAAGCTTTCAACAAGAATTATTGGACAATAGCAACAATGCACTCGATACTAGTAGCACTACTACGACAACCACATCTTCTGATATGGTGGAACAACTGACTGTCCGTGCTCTGGTGACATGCTCCCATTTGCTGGGAAAGTACGCTGTAAAGTTGCTGGATTTCCTGATGGAAAATGATACCTATCGCCAGTGGATTCTCTCGCAGGAAGTGGATCAACATGGGAACTACATGGTTCATCTTATTGCAAGTAACTTCCATGTGGATGGCAATGATGCAACCGGAAACACAACAACAACGAAAGCTCTCCTCCTAGATCAGCTGCAACAAAGAAAGGGAGAGTTCTCGGAAGCAGTGTGTCACCCCAACGATGACGGAAATATGCCACTTCATCTGGCCATTGCTACCGGTCAATTCGATCTTGTCATGCCTTTGTGGGACGACGTCGCTATAGAACACTGCAATTGTAGAGGGGAGCTTCCTCTTCATCTGGCACTCAAGCCAGTGTCTGTCGTGGAGTTCTCGTCTTTGGAACATGTTCTGAACAATCTTTGGAAGGCCAGGCCCAGTTCCGTGGAGGTCCGGGACAGCCCCACGCAATTGTATCCGTTTCAATTGGCTGCGTGCAGTGAATGGGGCGGGAAGCTACACGAGAATCCATGTCAAGACGGCGACAATACCGAAGCTACGTCAACTCAATCCGTCGATGTTCAATGGGTGAACTTGGTCTTTACCTTGCTTCTTGCAGCTCCACAAGCAATCCTATTCCAACAAGATACGAATAGTTAAATAGAGTGTACAGGATATCCCTTTCTACATTACCATTGACGTAGTCTACTCTACAATCATGGTATTTTCTTTGGACAGTGACATTTCATGTCGTTCTTGCTGTTTTCTCCAAAAGATCTCCTCATGGTCTCTCCCAATAATGTCTTCTAGACACTTGTGACCCCGTTGATCCATTATGGTTGCCAAGTCGTGCCTAATTCGACTTACGCAACCGGGCCCATCATACACCATCAAACTGTACAACTGAACCACGCTGGCTCCTGCCTTGAGCTTTTCGTACGCATCTTCGCCGCTTCCAATACCCCCGACTCCGACAATAAAGACGTTGCCATTCATTTCCTTGTACAATTGTCGAATGACCTCGGTACTCTTATCTTTGATCGGGGCTCCAGACAGGCCTCCCATTTCCTCGACGTGATGCTTTGAAACTAGTTCTTTGGGCCGTTGATTGGTAGTATTGGTAACAACCACGCCATCCACTAGTCGCAAGACAGGGACCATGCTTTTCAACTCTTCTGTTGTCAAGTCTGGTGAAAGCTTTACCAACAAGGGGACTGGTTTGGAGAGTCGTTTCCTTGCTTCCAGACAGGCTTGGATAAGTTCGCCCATGGCCTGAGCCTTTTGTAGATCCCGCAAGTTGGGCGTGTTGGGCGATGAAATGTTGATGACCTTGAGTGAGCATGGCATGGAAGGTTTATTGTCGTGGTGGCAACGGAAACGAGACGGCGAGATCCAGTGGACAGATGAATTGGATGAGAATTTCAATTTTCGAGCACAAAGGAGGAGAGCTCGGACAGGACAGGACGGCTTACCAAATAATCCGCATAGGATCCCAATTGTAGAATGTTCTTCACGTAGTCTGTTTTGGCATCTTCAGTGGTCTTGTTCTTGCCAATGTTGATCCCCAGCAAACCTTGAGCTGGTTTCGGAGTTGGAAACACGGCAGTCGCAATGGATTGAAAAGACATTATGGAGGAGCCATCTTTCGACTCGAGTTCACTGCTTTCTCTCAGCTGAGTTTGTCGGAATGCTTTCACATTTTCTTCCACGGCATCCGCCCCCTTGGAATTAAAGCCATACCTGTTGATAATGCCGAGATCGTCTGCTAACCGGAACATGCGTGGCTTGGGATTCCCAGGTTGTGGCTTTGGAGTGACAGTTCCAATTTCGACGAATCCAAACCCCATATCCATCAGAGGTTGAATTGCCTCCCCATCCTTGTCAAATCCAGCTGCCAAGCCGATTGGATTGGGGAACTGCAAGGCAAATCTCTTGTTCTCATTATTGCTGTTGCTGCTGTTGTTGTCCCCATTGCTTTCATGGATTGTCGTATCAAATGACATGGAAATTTTGACGTTGACCCGGTCTTCCATCGGTGAAGGTCGATGCCGAAGAGCAAATCCCTTGCGAGCAAAGTCTAGTGCCACATTGTGAGCAACTTCTGGATCGAGATAGCGTCGAAGGAGTGGCGTGACTACTTGATCGGACACTCTGTGGTAGATTTCAGATGATTTGCCCTGAGAAGGAAGATGAGTCGTTGCTTCCAACACACCAAACGTCACAGCCCCTCCTACGACGGTTCTTACCGTCAATGTTCGGAGCGAACGAAATCCTTGTCTCAACATGGTCGGATTACACGGTTGCCTGCATGGAAGCTTATCGGTGTTTCGAATGGTTGCCGACGATGACAAAAAGATCTTGGGTTGAAAAGTTGAGACGGATGGGAACCCCGTTCTTTCGTGTCACGACTGAAAATTGGCAGCTTGTCAGAAACCTCCTCTCCCTCATCATGGAGCGTGAAAGGGCCAACCACATCGCAATGGTCGCCCCTTGAAACTATGACATATTGGTACGAGTCGAAACAACCCGCATTACACTTGCAAATGCACACTTATTATTATGGTTGCATCGTTAGGAAGGATTCAAGGGTATCATTGAATTGATTGTTGGAATCTCGCGCCTGCTCTTTTCGGCAATGATGAGCATTAAAAACTGACTGTGACAAAGAGTTTTAATTAAGTAAGAGTTGTCATATCTCTATCCATGGACGCAGTAGTTGTTAAAAAGTCTAATAGATCTAAAAGATGAAGCTATGAATAATGAGTCGACAGCCGTAAAGGCGCCGGTCTCTTGGGTATGTATACAGAAAGGGACCTATCGGATGTACCCACGCAACCGGTCCTTGATGATGGCGGCCTCCACTTCACGATCGAACTCGTTTAGAGTGGATTCATCCAGAACAAACGTATCTTCGCTGTTTGTCCGCCCATGGTGAGTCCTCCTAACTCGGAGGACAAAGCTGTCTTCGCTGGCTGTCCTACGATGGTGACGACCTTCATCAGCTCTCCCGCAACCTTCCACCACACTTTGCGTTCCCGTGTCGTCAATGGGCGCCATGAAATATCCTTCGGTCACAACCTGATGAGATTCTTGGTCGATATCCCAAAGGTCAAGGTCCAGCTTGGGATCTTCCGTCGTGATGGCACTGCCCAAGTCGGAATAGGTGCCGACGGAAGCCATTCGTCGCGGTTTTGGAGCACGAGGGTTACTGGAAGAAGCACCGTGTTCTTGTGACGCAGCGTCTTGCTTTTGCGACTCGATATCCAAGCTAGGAATGATTGGTGGTTGATCGTCTGCATTTCCATCACCATCATCTGTTTGCGTTGGTTCCTTCATGGATGGCGCGGGAGTAACAAAACGGTATCCGGCATGCCTCGATCGGTCGAGCCCAGCATCGTCGTCGCTATCGCCTACACTCCTTGCCGCTTCGTCGTCAAAGACAAAAGTGTCCCATTGCGAGACGACAATGGCGTAGGAGGATTTGTCAACGTCTCGACCTAGACAATCTATCAAAGCATCTCGGACGATCTGCTTTCGAAGGGATATCTCATCCTCTTCTTTTCGAACCTCCTCTGCTTCTTCCAGGTCCTGCATTGTAGCCAAGAGTTCGCGACTAGGACTCTCCTTGATTGTCGAGATCGTCCTCCGGCTATAGTTTGGCTTGGGACTGTCTTCAGGAGTGCTGGCATGTGTCAACACGGATGCGCTCTTGCTTCGTTTGAAGGCTTGTCGTATGCGGACGCGGGCGAGCTTGTCTTGACAAAAGATTTCCGTAATGACCACTGCTTCAGTGCCAAGGGTATGCCAAGATCTATGGTCGATAATGATGAGACCGACCGATTCGAGAGCTTCCGTGAATTTCTCTTGGAGGCACCAGGCAACGGGCGTCCGGGCCTGGATGGCGAGAAACAGAGGCCGATTCCCGTCGCTCGTGTTGTCTATTCGATTCAGCTTGTGTTTGCTTTGGAGGAATGCCTTGAATTTGCCATTGTAGTACCGAATAGTTTTCGAAAGGGCCAGAGGTGCAACAATGGCGCTCAACAAGATTGCAAAGACTACTGCGGCATATTGCTCTGGATCCAACACTCCGGCACTCAGCGCAAAGGAAGCTACAATGAAATTGAATTCGCCCCTGCACAGCATGGCCCTGTTCAAGTCGGAACATACCCCAGGTAGGAAGGTTAGACCAATACACTGCGTGCTCTGAAGGGGTAATGATATGTTTTGACAAGCACGCAACTTACAACGTTGTGATTAATACGTCTCGCCAGTACGGATCATAAGGGAAGTCTTCTGGGAGCTCTCGTGAGAACCGAGGCACGAGAAGGCCCAACGGGATCTTGGCCAGTACAGGAAGGACTAAAGAAACATGGAGTGTCCAGGCATAGTGCAAGAGCAGTGTGAGAGATTGAATTGGCCAGGATGGAATGTTTCTCTTCCACACTCACTGTATAGAAAACCCCAATTGAGCACATTTCCATCCGTGAAGTATTGAATGGGCACTTGGAAACCAATGGTGGCGGCAAAGAAGATCCTCATAAGCCAGATCTTTAGATGGGGTGCACTTCGAAGGTAGCGAGCATGCACCGAGTTGATTTGTGAGAAGCTGAGCCCTGCCAAGAAAGCTCCAGTAAGGTAACTTGCGCCAGAGTAGTGCAAGAGTGGAAGGTAGAAAGAAAGGAGAATGAATAGGAGAGAAAAGGCAACAAAGTCTCGCGTATCCTCCCGAAATCTGGGCAGTATCTTGTGCTCCACAAACTTGGGAAACACTGTAACCCCTACAAGTCCCAGAACAAGTAGGTATCCAAATGACGACAGGAATGGCACCAAGTATTCAACGAGCTTTGGTGAGTCTTTGACCAAGACCTCCATGATAGAAAGCAGAATCAAGCCGAGAATATCATCGAAAACACTGGCAGCTACGATGACCTGCCCCATGGGGGTATTGAGGATCTCTCCTTGCGACAGAACTTGGCTGGCGACACCAAAAGAAGAAGGGGCAAACGCTGCCCCCACGGCAAAGCTGGATCGAAAGTCTCCCGAGTTTGCTGCATGTCCCATTCCCAAGCCAACGGCGAGGGCTAGGATGGTACCCGTGACGGCCATGAGTACAGCGCGGGAGCCGGTTTGCCTCAACTGCGCAATATCCAAGTTGATTCCACTGTCCAAGAGCAGCCCAATCAGTCCAAAACTTCCAATAAGTACCATGGCCTCTGGATATGCTACAAAGTCTAGCAAAGGTGGACCCAGGATGAAGCCTGTGACAATTTCTCCCACCAGAGATGGCAATCCAACCAGCTGACTTGCGACGGCCATCATCCAACTCGTCATTAGAAAGATCACTGTCTTGAGAATATCTTCGAAAGAAACATCCACGGATAGTCCCTCAGGGGCAGCGTCACTATCTTCCTGTAGAACCCTTTTGAAAGCATTACTGTTTCCCATTCCTTCTTTCCAACTAGCAAAGTAGAGGATACCACCAGCAACCACAACCATGGTCGATGCATGGCTTGCAACGAAAGACATTCTCCGGTTCCACCGGAGAGACAATTGGAAGTTCTTCTCCATTACCATGGTTTCGCCGCATCAAGATATCAAGATGGAATCATTTTGGAACTTCGATTCTACCCCACTCATGCGGTGGTATCTCATTAGGCTACGTGTCATCATCGCCTTTATCTGGCCACGTCGAAGGGAAGGAAGAACGAAGTGGTGGGAAGAAGCAAAAAGGATTCCCAGAAGCAAACCCAGAAGCGCCGGCTAGATTGAAATTTCTCGAGTTTTAGCGAAAATGTGAGCTCCCTCCGCCATTTCGTGAGCAGCAGCCGAAGTTCCCCTCGCCGAAGAAGAAGCTCACAAGTTCTTCTTCTGTTAAAGCCTTGCACTCTTCCCCTCACGTGTCAATGCATGAAGCGTTATCAGGTATTTCACCTTGGCAGAAAGCCTTTAATAATATTAAGTGTACAGGTATAATACATAATACAATGTCATGTAGTGCTGTACGGTACTGTACGTCCTGGTACGTACCAGTGCGGTATCGGTACACCGGTACCAGTACAAGGTAAGCCAATGCAACCGGTACCGGTACGGTACGGAGCGCTGAGCCATGGGAAGATTGCATTATTCTAGCTTCGTGTCGCCCTCGATCGGTCAATACACAAACTAAGTGCACAAGCTACCTACTCGAAATCGAGCTAGCATTGACGTATGGACTATAATGTTATTGCCAAACCGAAAATCTCCCTCCGATAGGAACATGATCTGTGCTCTGTGCTGCTAGTTTTGCGAAAACAAGTTTCGGCAAATGTAATCATCCTGTCCAAGCTGGCTCCTGGCATAGGAGGACAGCCCATCAGCAACCTTGGCAACTTGACGCTTGAATCGAGCTTCCTGGTCATGCAGGGCCATTTCGCCGTGGAGTAAAGCTGGAAATAGATCCTGTCCAAGGAGTTCTTCAAACTGCCAGTTTGATACAGTGGAGGGCACATACTCCTTGAGGCACTCCCAAAGCTGTTCCTTGCACTCGTCATGCTTTGCCAGAAACGCTACCAAGATGTTGACCTCTTCCATTCCAAAAAGGTAAGGGGCATCTTCCAGGCAACGGTGAAGAATAGCAAAACAAGCCCCTTTGGAACGCGTCAAGCTGAAAGTGAAGCTTGTCTGAAGCTTCTCCAACACTTGGGCCCGCTCCGAGCGCATTGCCTCCAGCTCTGACTCAGACGACAAAAGTGGTTCAGATTTTGTATCTGTCAGCAACACCCATATGACATCCTCGCAAAAAACCTTATCACATATTTCCAGGCCTCTGGCACTGCAAAGTTCATCGAACCACGAGAGAGCTGTAGAGACATTGTCCTTGGTAATTTGTGCTTTCGGAAAAGGGGCAACCATCGAAGCAATAAGTTCCCAGTCTTCTGGTTTTCTGTCAGGGAACTCAAACTGTTTTGTGGCTGTTTCCTTCATTCCACTTCTGAATGCAGCACCAAAATAACCACTCCAGCAGCGAAGGGTCTGTCGGTACTCACGGTATTCTTGTCCACCCGCAATTATGGTGACATCAGGCTCCTCTGATGACTGCTATCAGGTTGGGTTGGAACCTTTTCGTCACAATCCTCCGACATTTTGACAAGGGCAGAACCCTCTGCAGGATGTGCTTGATAACTGCTACTGAAAAATGGAACGAGGAGCATCCTAGACCATAGAAAGAAAAGATCTTCTGAGTGAAAATTTCGGTGCACCACTTGTCGTACGGTACGTAGTGTACTGGTACCACTTCTACGCAGTACGAAAATTTCAATTCCAACTATCATGGCTTGTCTCAGGCTGGATCTGCCACCCCAGGTTTATTAAAGGTGCTGCAGGCAAAGTAGCAGTATGCATGCAGCAAGCTACCTTTAGCTTTACCGTATTCTACCGTAGTGCCTCCGTGATCTTGGTCTGATTTGCTTTCAGGTTGGTGGCAGCCCACGACGCCACGGTACAAAAAGTCGAGCTCCACACACGCAAACTCTACTCTTCCTATATCTACATCTGTGAGGAAAATGGCCACTCTATCTCCATCGGCGAGAACTGCTGCTCTTCCACCGCTGCTGTCCAAAAGAACTTCGAGCTCGAGGCCTACATGTATATGTCCAATCTGGAAGGCGACATGGTTCCTACTACCACTCCGGCAACAGCAACTATCACCATTCTGGCAGCAGCTATGGCAGCAAGAGAACGTCGTCCGTGGGTGATGGCGGCATTGCTGCTGCTGTGGCTGTCCTTTCTGCTCTTTTTTTCTTATCTCTTGTTGCCGGTCGGCCAAGGCCTCCAGGAATGGCAACCGCCATTTCGGGCTTTGAAATGTCCCCCTCTGGGCCCGTGGTCGCGAACTTTGGAAACAAAAGAATTGGTCTAGCTAGCTAGAATGTTATAGAAACTCAATGTAGTTGTGTGCAAAGGCAGGGAGGGTGACTCGTCAAATACGCTGGACCGATACCGATACGAACAGGGGTATGTTGCGCACAAGCAGCACCGCCGTCACGTTGTATTTCCACCTGACATGATTTCCTTTCTGAGAAACCCGGGATCATGGTACCGGTGTTGGAGGTGGCAAGTTTCCACGGTGTGGTTGGCCTGAACCCAAAGCAAATCATCGCTGGATCGGGCATTGCCTTTCGAACTCTGTTGACTTTTTGTGTGATTTTGGCGGGGACGTCGGTCTTGAAGTTGATTGCACGCAAGTTGTCTGGGACTGCAACTGCTCTGTTTTGCTGGTAGGATTCCTAGCTAGTAGGGGTTTCCGGCTAAAGATTCTAGTTTCAATCTACTTGGAAAGACCGAAAGAGACGCACGAGTTTCAGAGGATCAAGTGGGACCAGGAGTTCTCGAAAGCTGGGCAATGGCAATCGGTTGGATTTCCGGTGCTGGGGCTCAATGTACTTGGGCCGACAGTAGTCGGGCTTGATGTACTGGGCGACAAGGTACTGGGCGTTCCTGTGCTGGGGCTCACGGTGGTTGGTCCCGAGGTGCTGGAGCTCACAGTGGTTGGGGAGAGTGTGGTGGGAATTCCCGTCCTGGGAGCAGCAGTCGTTGGACCTGCCGTGCTGGGGCCAACAGTCATGGGGCCTCCCGTGCTTGGGCTTACAGTTGTGGGGATCCCTGTGCCCGGGCTCGCCGTAGTGGGGCCAACGGTTGTTGGAATTCCCGCTGAGGGACTCTCGGTTGAGGGAGTACCGGTGCTAGGACTCTCAGTTGAGGGACCAGCGGTGCTGGGTGCTTCAGTTGTGGGACTCTGGGTTGTGGGAACAAGAGTTGTGGGGGACAGGGTGGTGGGAGTGGTGCTGGGCTCGCCAACTGGCACCGTGGGAGACAAGGTGCTGGGGTTTGGACGAGCTCAATAACTCCTGCTTTGCTTCATCGACCAGCTGAATGTGCTGCAACATATTTGGTGCACTTTTCATGCAGTGGTGACACTTGAGCCGGTTATTTACATCTCAAATAGGTCATTTCCGACTGCTTTCTCGGGAAACTGTGAGTACGCTCCAGATACCGTACTGTACAGCGATGTGCATGCCCCCGTTCCTTCACCGAGCGCAACTGGTTGGAATTAAATTGCAGCACTGCAATGCAAGAGCTGCAACGACCACTTTTGCTCTACCCAGCTGATAAGTGATCAAGAGGCGAAGCCAAGTACCTCACAGACAGAAACCGCCGTGTCTCCCTTGCAATGGAGCATGGTAGCAGCTTTTTCAGTGATTCTGCCAAGCACAGAATTTAATGAATCCACGAGGTCTTTCAAAAAGTTTTGCTATTACAGGTCAAGTTGGTTTCATTATCGTGCGCAACACGGGGATAGCCTGATCTCCTAGCAGTAAATCGCTCTTTGCGATGACAGGATGCCTGTCAATTGCATCCATGATGCAATCCTTCAATAATTTGTCATGGAAACCTTTGGGGCTGTCTACCTGCGTATTGTTGCTGCCGTGTGCAGAAATGCCCTTGAAGAATTTTTTTGTTTTTCACACAGAAAATGTCTGTACTGTACAATTGATATGCATGCTCCACTCAGTTTCGCCTCGCTAGGAAGCTGCCGCCGCAATGACTTTTTCACCACTACTAGTATCTTCATCTGCGTTCCTTGAGATGATTGATGTGTCTATGCGGTCATGGCACAAGCACTCAGATCCAGTTGTACTTGTTTGACCATGGGTTCCACAAGGCCTTCTACCGTGAAGATTGTCTTTGTTGTTGTGTCATCTTCCTGATTCTTGAGCGTAGATTGCTGAGGCTGTAAAAGTGCTCTCTTTACTTGTTCTTGCTGCTGCAGCCTTGCTTGCATTCGAACAGAAGCCAAGAGATCAGGGTCAATGCCATTGGCATATTCCACATTGGCGTACCAATGGGGAAAGAAGGCAAAGATCGTTCTGTGACTGGCGGCTTCGATTTGTAGTGCCAGATAACAGGAGAACACAGTGCTACCCAACGTGATGGATGCGCCCGTTGCTGTCACCTTCGCGGCAGAGTAGATGTGTGGAACCAGTTTTCTCCAACTCATAATGATGTAGATAGTAATGATATGAATGTTCTGTGAATGTCATAATATGAGAAACAAAAGGGAGACAAGAGAGAGTCAGCACAACAAGCCCAAGCAAGGATCGACCATACTGGTTAATTAATCTCCATAACAACTTACACTTGGCAGTTCAATAGAAAACAAAGAATGCTTTTATGAGGCCGCTGCGGTATCTTTCGAGAGAGGAAACAACAAGATTGCAATCACCCACCAAAGAATGAGAACTGGATCAGTCTTCTCTGCAAACGGAACTTGATACGCTACCTTGCGTCTTCTCTAAAGAATGTGGTGTCTGCTATGCCAATGGATCTCTGGCGAGAAAGAAGGGTATCATCCACTTTCTTGGCAGAAGAATGGATGAGCAAGCGTTCTCATGGCTCAAGTTCGTCGGGTGTCGGATACGACGAGTTGAAGCCGATGTCACTATGCGTGTTCTTTGCTGCGAACTCGATACCCGTTCCCACGCACTTCAACCATGTCTGCTTGGACAGCAGCTTTTGCAGCTGTTTTCCGCCGTGGGAGTCGAGATCCTCGTTCACGCGAGATTTTTGGCTTGAGATGTGCTTTCGTCAGCATGCTCCACATTGCGCCACCGTGGCCCTTTCTTCGGGGCTGGAGTGTTTCATTGGATGAATGTGGAGACTTGTGGATGTTTGCTTCTGGATACCAAAGAGAGTTTCTAGTAACACGTGAGCTTGCAACAGATGGGTTAGCGACACCTCTTGACAGTTCTCTTCTTGGAGTTGTCGTGTAACGAAGGTCCCACACGCCTGCTTTCTTTCTACTGTACACGTACTCCCTCCGTGATGCAGCCCGCCGTAACCTCAGGTCTTTGAGCTCAGCTAGTCGTTAGCCGAGCGAGAAGTTGTGTAAGCACTTCGTTCCTTCATTGGTGCGGGGACCAGTCCCCGGCTGGCTCTAGAGCACCTAGAACAAACTATGCCGCGCCAGGTACCGGTACATGTATGCTGTTTCGGAAGTTTGTCTCTTTTTCGTGTCGCCTTCTTCGCAAGAGTGGAAGTCTACAGAGTATGTTTCTAGACCCCAAACCGATGCCTTAGTTAGATGTGTCTGGTACTAATATCCATCTCTTTTCATGGAGCTGCACCTAGAAAAGTTACAGTTTTCAAGTCCGGCTGGAAAAGAATAATTGATTGATTGTGGATTACCTTTTCCCCATAATAATATAATATATGATTGTACGTACTGTGTGCCACTTTGTATAGATGTGGCATGTGTACATCAGTTTTGATCATGAAACTCTTGCTGGCTGGACTTGAATGCATACCGGTAAGCTTCTCTGCCTTGTTTGCTTGTTCCCTAACAAAGTCAATCCAAAACCAGCCATGGTTTCACCCCTCCTTCCTCCGTTGTGTAGCAGGTTATTCATACTGTAGCAGGAAGAAAGGATGGATTCTGCAACAAAAAGTAGAATACAACATTCACATTTGATCTGTGCTGAATGATTTTGTTGGCCCACAATCTTCGCACCACATCCGTCCTTGTATTATTGATATTGCTATTGATTGTGCTTTCCAATAGTTCATTTCGACCGGCCCGGTTCAATTGCAAAAAGAACTCAACTTCTCTTGACAGACTGAACGCGGAATGACACTTGTCGAGTTTGATTCTTTCCAATGTGTAGTTGTCTTCTCGTAGTATATCCAAGAATGGTTTCAAAAAGACTTCGTTGACTCGATCTTGACTGAACAATCCCTGAAAGTGGATATGTATTCGTTTGAGAGTTCTGTTGTGTCTCAAGTGATGTACCAATGCTGTGGCGTCTCCATTGCGTTCTCCTGACATGACAAACCGTATGGAGTGAATATGGTTGTTGTGAAGCAATGCCTCTGTAATGAGCGTTCCATATCGCGACTGAATACCCAGCGATAGAAACAAGTATTGTAGCGTGCGATGATTGTGTCGAATCATGGAAGCAAAGTCCAAGGCAGTTTGTTCCGTCAAGTCATCCAAGACCACCAATTCATGGAGGTGCTGGCACTGTTGGTTCTGTAGGGCTTCCAGCACGCGGGATAAGTGTCGCTGAAAGTCTCCATTGGAATCGACGAGCAATTTTGTCAGAGCCTGCGATTGCAGAATGGCAATGTCGACCTGTTGATCGGTGATTTGTTGTCCTCCGGAAAGGGAGAGTTCTTTCCACCTATTTGGCACCATGAGAGGCGAGAATTCACTCGCTAGAATAGTTGACCTCGCATTTCCAAATTCAGTCAGTTCCAGAGTTTCCAGAGAGGAATGTTGTCGTAGCGCCAACAGAAAAGCGCGGCCGTGAACGGGCGTCCCTGAAATGGCCACATCCATATCCAACTGAAGGGACTTTAAGTGCCGTGCTTTTTGCACCAGCACCGTCAGAGCTTCCAGCGGAAAGACACGGTCGTCTTCCTGCAGCGCATCCAAATTGTCCAGTACTAAATGACGTAGCCGTTGGTGATCCCCGAGAATGGAGAACATGGAAACAATTTGTTCGTCGGTCACGTTGCCAATTGCGGGCCGATTGTGATTATTTATTGGGACGTGGTTGTTGTTGTCATCGTCTTCATCGATTAGAGAACGAATGTACAGCGTTTCGACATTTGGAAGGTGTCGCGAGAGGGCTCGAGCTCCTTGCTCTGACAGCGAAATGTCCAGCACTGCTTCGGTATCATGAGGGTTTCCATCCAGCACATTATTGTTGGTTTCGTCGTCGTGGTCGTTTGGAACGGCTTGCATCGTGCTTTTTGTCTTTGCTCTTGTAGTGCTAATGAAGAGAGTGTGGGGATCAGAGACTGGGACTTTCCATGAACACTACTCGGAATCCAACCCACGAAACTAGCCTAGGCTACTACAGTAGCAAGTGGTCCTGCAACTTGAGATGCGACCTTGCTATTGTACGATTGATTACAAGAGGACTTGGATGACGGAGGATCATCGTTGATCATGTTTGAAATGGCTCTCAATCGTTTCTCTCTTCAATTCCGTTTCCGGTGAGGCTTGGTGCGGAACCGGGTTAGGGCCGCGCACTTGCTCTTTTACGGAGAAGCCAAACGGCGTCCCGACTCAATCTTCACAGCTCTGCCTGCTTCAAATCTCTTCGCCTCCACCCATCAACCGATCAATTATATTTATTTATATTTATTTATTTATTTATTATTTATCATCCGCCACATTCCTCGATCGATCCTTTCGTTTCGACCGGCCATCATGACATCTCTGGAAGAAACCAACGAGGCCCCTGCAGCAGAGGCAACATCAGCATCCTCTCACCAGGATGATGGAGCATCATCGAGCCATGACTCTGAGCTCCAGTCGAAGAAAGGCTCCGAGAATACCGGTAGCGCCAAGGAAGTGAATCCTCTCACGGACTTTGTGACGACTTCTTACGTCATTGATTCCATCAACTCGACGTTGAATGAGCTCATGCAACAAGAAGAGGCAGGTTCGACCACAACAACAACAACAGAAAAGAAACAGTTTTTTGAACTGCAAAAACGAATGCCCGATGGTTCGGCACGCAAGGCCACGGACGAAGAAATGTCGTCGCAAGACATGAAAAACAAACTGGAACAGGCAGCGCAGTTGACCTCCAAAATGTCCTTGGAACAGAAAATTGAATGGGCACAGAAACAACGACAGCAGGGCAATCAGCTCTACCAAGAAGGAAAATACAAGCAAGCCATTGACATTTACTTGACATGTCTCGTGGTCCGTGATACCACACAACAACAACAAAAAGTAGTAGACGATCTACAAGTATTCATTCTTCCCGTCATGAACAACTTGGCTCAGTCGGCATTGCAACTGGGGTGGTACCATAAGGCAGAAGTATTTTGTACATTGGGCATGGAATCCTTGGAGGAAGGTACCAAGGGTCAAGGCGTTGCCAAACTCTACTTTAAGCGTGGAAAGGCTCGACGACTACGGGGATGCTATGACACGGCAAAGGGAGACTTGGAGAAAGCCATGGAAAAGCTGGGCGGCGATATCGAGAATGATGATGACGACGAGAAATCTCCAGAACAAAAATCTATTGAAAAGGAATTCCAACTTTTGGCCAGGGCGGTAGCAGAAGGAAAGAAAAACAAGAAGCGAACACAACGAGCCATGCAAAAGGTCCTGGGATCTCAATCCAGCCAAGATGGAAACAACATGAATCCTTCGAAAGAAGAATCCCTCAAAGAAACAAACTCTACGCCTCCGTCAACTCCCAAGACAACAATATCATCGCCATCCTCTCTCCCCAAATCCAATGATATACCCACCCCTTCGGATGATGACATCAACACACCCTTGTACCACGAAAAACCATCCCGGACGCATTCCACAATCCGCAAGAGGCCGGAAGGTCCACCTCCCTATGAAAAACTTGAGCTTGATGTGGACTTGTCTTATTGGCAAATGTATCGGCTTGTGATTGCAAGAGTCGCACAGCGATTGTTGGACATTATTGGGGAGGAGGAAGGCACGGGGTTTGGAGGGGTACCAACCACTGTATCCACAGATGATGCTGATGGTGCCACAACCAATAGACAAAAGCAGGACTGAGGATGCAGTACTACATGGCATGGCGGGAGCGGCATTGTCGTGCAGACCTATACAGCTAACAAATGCTGTATTTCCTCTATCGCCAGTGCAAACTCGTTTTTAACCCATCCTAGTAGTCAAAAACAATTGCTAGCTATAGTGGAAAGCCATTGTCAAAAGGAGGAGTGGGGGCAAAAACTATTGGAGCCTTCCCCTGATGGACACGATGGTTGAGATATTGTTGACCTAGCTAGCTACCGTACTGGTAGCTGGGACGTTGAAGATTCAATTCAGTTCAGTTCACGACGTGATGTACAGACTGTATCTTCTTTGACTCCCGCGCCACCTCAGCAAAAAAGCAAGATCCCTTCTGGATCGTCGCAGCTCCACATTTTCTTCTTTGGACCTGAATCTTCATCGATCTTTTGCCAGAACAACCTTCATCCTTCTCAGACTACTTTTGAAGCAAACAAATAGCAATGGCAGGGGAAAGCACGACACTTCTCAACGGGAAAACCAAGGAGAAAACCGAGATCCAAACGACATTTGGGGACAATTCGGACTCTTTTGTGAACTTGAAGTCCCAAAATAATGGACACAGGTTGTTCATTGGGTTTTTGGCGTGCATGATAGTAGGGCTGGTTGCCCTAAGTGTTGCCGTTATCTATGATGTCATGCCCAGCAGAGGTAGCAGCAGCAGCAGCGCCAGGAAAATTATCAAGAAGTACGACAGTCGAGCTGCATCCCAGTTGGATGTTTTGAATTCCATGTACGATCCCGAGTTGGACATTGAATCTGGCTGTGAAAGCACGATTTTGCTCTTTCGACACTGCGAAAAGTATCCTGATGATGGAGTGGTTCACCAAGGAGGGAATAGCTACTGTTCTTGGTTGGGCCGAGAGAGAGCCTATTTTCTACCATCACTGTTTGACCCCAGCAATCCACAACACCGATGGCCAGTGCCCACAAAGATCTTTGCCTTGACACAAGACCGAGAGTCCAAACACAAGGTTAATTACAGAGAAATTGAGACGGTCTTGCCGTTGGCCAAAAAGTTTGACTTGGAAATTGATGTCTACCCCTTCAAAGTAAAAGTGCTGGCTGACGAATATTTCAAGCAACTGCAATCAGGCGAAATGTGTGGGAAAGTGAGTGTGATTTCTTGGAAGCATGAGCTGCTTGCCGACCTGGCCGTGGCCTTGGCTTGTGGACCTGATGAAGGATGTCCCTACGAATATCCCCATGACTCGTTTGATGAAGTCTGGCAAATCAAATATGTGCTCGATCCAGAGGGCAAGGCCGAGACAGCCCCCAATCCCATGGACTTGAATGTAACAATCAACTATAAGCAAGCAAGCGATTCGAAGCATGCCACCGATGTCGACGACGATGATGACGATGATGATGCCACAAGAATTGATGCTGCTCCGGATCAAGGATCAGGAGTCCGAGGGAGGATGCTCAAGAAGAAAAAGCACAAGCACAAAAAGCCAGCAAAAAAGCATTGGGTGGTGTACGGAACCAAGACAACACAAGCCTTTGATCCCCTCGCATTCAGCTTGAAATCTGGAGACTATCCACCGAACGGTACTTCCAGTGGAGGGCAATGGGCCGACGAAATTTAGAAAAAGTACAAAGGACGGTTGTCATCAATCCTCATGGCAGTGAAAAAGACCGCAGACAGACAAATTTTGGAGAGGTACGGTATATATCGTACATACTAAACAACGTACATTAGACATGAAAAAACTGTATAGAAAATGGACCCCACTAATCTTATTTAAAACTTCACCATCGAGAGAATACAAACTTCCATCAAAGCAGCCACCGCCAGCTAGCTAGCTACGGAGACTGTGAATACGAGCGGTCATCATCATCACTTTCTGCGCCGCCACGATCGCGGCTGGAACTTCGTTTGCGACTACGAGATGATCGATGAGACGACTTTCTCTCCTTGCGTTCACGTTTTCTCTTTTTGCTCTCCTTCCTGGCTCGTTTTTCTTCCCGTTCTTTGGCTCGTCGCTCCTCCTGGTCGCGGATCCGATCTGCTTCGCAGTCCTCCTCCATGGAACGTATGAGACACATGGGCACCGGCTTGACATGCAAAAAGTTGCAGAAACCACCTCGGGCACAGGCGTCTTCATCGTAGTCTCGGCATCGCGCCTCCCGAAAGTCTGTGACGGGTGAATACTCCACCTCCATTCGTCGTCCGTCATAGTAGCGCCCATTCATGACCTGCAAGGCATCCGATGCCTCTTCTTCGTCGCTGAATTTGCAATAAACATGACCTGAAGAAAGAATCAACAAGCGTAAGAAACACTATAACAGGATAATGGGGAGCAGCTCACAAAGCGACATGAGACGGATTTGCCGCCAACAACACGAGTTGCCACCACACACCCATTGGATTGATCAGAACCAAATAACCGATAAGATACAAGTTGATTTGGCATCATTCTCCATTCCTTTGTTGTGCCATGCTTGATGACAATTAGAAATGATTGAATTCACCAAAATTCAACCAATCCACACCTTCAACCCTGAAAATTGTTGTACTGAGCAAATCAACCGTTATCACACATCTCGTGATTATCTCATCGTTTGTGGCTTGTGAATTGTTGGTTGTTTTTGGAGTCTCGGCCAAAGATCCAACAACAGACAGGCCTCCAATAAAGACAATCACAGGATCCTCACAAGCTGTACACCCGACATCAAACAAACAGACATGCACACGCGGAAACAAAACAAAACACAACGAGCCCCATCTCAGCTAGCTAGCTAGCTAGCTAGAGACAACGTACCAATCAAATGATCTCCCAGATTCTCCACGACATGCAATCCTTCCACTCTGCCAAATTTGCTCAATTCCACATACAGATCTTCGAAAAACACCAAAAAGTCTTCATTGGCTTGTTCTTGATCAATGACGGCTTCTCCACCGCTCTTGTTATTGATTTCGCAAGACGCTGCGGGTGCCGGTAGAGATGCTTCACCAGAATGGTGGGAGAAAAGGCGGGACGATGGTGAAGACGAGAGCATCGATCCGAATGGCGGCAAGCTCCAATCTTGAAGTAGAAGGGACAGTTCACCTTGTCCTCTTCGGTGCCGTGAATGCGGGCCAAGTGCTTTGCCATGGTTGGTAATTTTGGTAGAGTGGTTGTCTCTTGATTGTCGTTTTCGTTGCTTTTTGCTTTGGTTGTGTGTTGTGTGTCAAGAATCTTTGCCGTTGTTTTTGAGGCCAAAGCTCTGCTGTGCGTCTTTCGAATGCATCATTCGACTGACTTTGTAGAAAAACGTCCCGGCAAATTGAAAATCCAATGACGCGCGCGATCGCAAGAATTCTTGGAGGCGCAGCCGACACGATTCGTCGCGAGAGCGCGCGTCAGCGGATTTTAGGCCAAGAACGAAGATCAAGGGCTCGCCTAGGCCCTTGGGCAAAAATCCGACAGCCAGACGCAATCAGATCAAACGATCAAAAAGGCCGTCAACGAGGCGGGAGGTCTTGTGGGTAAGCACCTGACAAAGACCGAGTAAATAAGCCCTACTGTTAGAGTACAACTGGAGTAGTCACTAGAGCGCTCATCATGTCATCATCGGCAGAAGAAACAGAAGGGTGTGACCCACTTGCCGGCGGTGATTTCACCTTCCACCCGTAGAGGACTCAGTAGTAGCAGTAGTGAGGAGGAAGAAAGAGGTATGAAGAGCCGTAGTGGAAGAGAGGAAGAATATGAAGAAGAACCCAGTCGTCCTGTCATGACCCAAGGTACCAGCTTTGTTGTGGCAAGTATGCTAGCACTTGGCTCTGAATCCAACATCAGCTATGGTACTCACACAAGCTCCAGCAGAGTCTCCTTGTCGCCTCAAACCCAGCCAACATCTCAACAACAGAGGAAGAAGAAACTCCGACACAGGAAAATTCACAAAAAAATGCAGCCATTCCAATGAAAAGTGCTGCTGAAATTGCCTCTGCCCTTGGATCTGGTCGAGATTTTACATCCTTGGACTTGACAGAGAAGAGCAAAAGCTTCAGATGCTGCAAGGATTGGGAAGACGAGGAAGAAAGCACGGAAGAAGTGTGAGAGTCTTCAAAAACGATTCTTCGGTACAATCCGAGATCATGGAGGTTCCGTTTTGGCCAGTCCTCTTGAGATTGTTCCCGTCACTTACGACCAAGGACTATCCACCGATTTTGCCTTTTTCAATGTGGTGTGTGGAGAAAAAGATGCGAACAAGCACAAAATCCTGAACTATTGCTCGATCTTGTGTGGAATGAAGTGGTTGTGTTTGTCTGGAACCAACAAAGGAAAACCGCTCTCTCCGCGGTCTTCACCCAATATCAAAACGTGTTTGGCGAGTAGGAAGAAAGACTACGACACAGTTTCTGTACTCTTCAGGAGGATTTCACGCAAGGAGATTTCCACGGATTCATGATCAAGTTTGGCGGAAATCTGCAAAGAAACTTTGGAATTTCGTGTCATCATTCGGAGATTGATTGGGAGCGCAAGAAAATCGCGAAGCTGTAAGACGGAAGACTCCAACGTGGAAGAACGTTCTCTCCAATTCGTCTGTGTGTTCCACTTGGTCGATTTTTTTTTCGTGGTGGTAAGGAATGTCGAGCTCATGATGCGTGATACTTATTCCGGATGTACACTCGCGAGATGGGTGACCTGGCTGGATGTTGCATATGGCATCCGACTTCCGAAGATAAGACCAATCGAACTGAGCTTCTACAAATCTGGAGTCTTGCGGAAAAAGATCGCTGGTTGGAAATCGTCGAGAATCCTCGAGATCGCTGTGGCGTTAGTGTTTCGACTTCTACCTGTCAAGTGTTATCCAGAAGCGGGAAAGTCTTTGCAGATTGCCTTAGCAGCAGAAGAGATCAAGAGTATTTCACAACCATCAGTGCATGGGAACAAGTTACAGGTCGAGACATTTGGTTCCCAACCGTAGGGGAACTGTCAGTACACCTAGGCCACAACAATGTGTCGAAGTAAGGCCAAGGACTCGGTGAAGTCATTGAGTCACGATCTTGAGAAGTTCACGAATCATTGTCTTCGTGCCTATGGAATACCAAGATGCATCAAGCTCGGTTTTCCAATGGCTGCTCGATTTAAATTCGCCCGTCACAAGTGCGAACAGAGTCAGATCCCTTATGCACGTCTCGTAGATGAAGGTCGATCAACTGCTCTCAAGGCGTTGATGTGCTCGATACAGGACTTGGCGGTGGAATCCGAAGACGAAGAATGGAAATCCACGTCCTCCAAGGCGACATCTGAGAGAATCCGATGATGGGCGGCGGTAAACGCGCCGCAAAGCGGGCTCCAAGCGCCAAGCTCAAAAGAAAGGATTTTACTTGGAAAATCGCAACAAGTCCAGAGATAGCGTCGCCAAGAATTCTGCCAAAAAGTCCGTACCCGACGAGATCTTGACTCAAGATTCGGACGACGAAGAAGAGGCGTCCTTGCTGACGGAAGATCCATCTGTCATTCCAGATGACAAGGTGTTGAAGAAGATGACGAAGGCCCAGTTGCTCGAGCTGGTTCACGCTCAAGCAGCAGCATCGTCGGCAAGTATTGCGTCAGCTCCTGCGGTACCTGGTGGTGCGGTTGTTTCCGTGGCAGGATCTCATAATCGTTGGCGATGGCTCCAATTGCGGCGGCTCCAGTTGTGGCGGCTCCAGTTGTGGCGGCTCCAGTTGTGGCGGCTCCAGTTGTGGCGGCTCCAGTTGCCTCCATTGCGACAAATCAAGTATTCCCTCAGTCAGCAGCAGCAGCTCCATTGGTGGCGGCGAATCAAGTCATGGACCAACGAATGTATCAACAGCAACCGATGCCCATGCAAATCCAGCCGCAGCCTCAGTATTCGATTCCAATGAGTTGGAATCAAATGGTGGCGATGCAGCAGCAAGCAACCATGATGCAGAATTACGTGATGCCACAACCACAGCAGTATGTGTATCCGCAGTTTCAGCAATCAGCTCAACAGATGCAGATGCAGCCAGCCCCACAGATGCAGCCCGCTCCTCAGATCCAACCACAGCAGCAGATGCAGATCCAGCCTGCCCCACAGATCCAACCACAACCGCAGGTATGGCATCGAGACATAAATGGGAACTTCTTTCCCGCTAACCAAAACGGACCGTCGCTTGGATGAACGCCATTGTGGAGATTTATTTGGGGGCAATTGTGTAGTTTTGATGGGATATCTGGAGATAAAAGGGCATATTTTCGTTTCGAGTTTTCGATGGTGGAAATTGTGGCAGAATGAGAGAGTAATCGAAGAAGAGGTTTGACTTCAACGGACGCCAATTGTTTCGTGCTTCTTTGGCTGAATAGTTCGGATTGATGACGTTCCGACTGTTTTCCTTCTCTTAAGCATCGAACCCTAAAAGTAAGCAACAAATTCATTTTTCCATCTTCTCGTGCTTATAATATAGCAAGGAATTGTCTCAGAACCTGCAAAATCACCATTGTCGCTCAAAGATACGGTTTCAATCGTAGAAACAAACACATCTATCGAAATAAAGTTCCCGTGAGAATGAAGTGGTACACATGGTCGCAGAAAAAGACACACATGGATTGAAAATCCAGTCAGAATCCGATTGAAATCCAAAGAACGTCTGATGTGACACATCTTATATATATTTCCAGAATCCGGAAGTTGGGAATTCACTGTATTTCTACAGTGGAGAATCCCGGCAAACGGATTTCTGAGTAACGGCCTAAATTTGAATCGGATTTCGAAGAATCAACGTCACCAGAAAATTCTACTATAGAGACATCAGTAGGAAAATCCGATTGGATTCTGACATCAGGCCGTTACCGGCGTTTTAATTTGTGTGTGTAAAATTTCGAAATCCGAATCGGCCTATCGTGTTAAATAACTAGTGGATTTCGGCCGTTTATTTTGTCCACCGTAGAAAGTGTACCAGACCTACGAGGGCGTTGGCAGGTGGATTACGAATTGAATCTTCTCTAAGCTCATAACCCGATCCTTTAATGAACCAGCAAGGCTGAGTGAGAAAGAGTCAAAGCTGGTGGGAACCTCCAGGCAGCTATCGGTACCGGTACGGTACTGGAGGGCGCAGTGTTTTGCTTGTTGGAGTTTTCGTTGAGGCTGCAGAATGGAATGATGGTGCGCTGAAGCTCCGAAGCCTCCACCAAGCTACCGGTATGGGACTCTGGTGCAAGGTGTTGAAACTTGATGAAACTACATGTAGTATCGCGAGTTGGAGGTTCAGCAAGGAATTGCCTGTATCTTCCAGACTGTTGCTTGTTTGCATCTATGTGAGGCAGAGTGCCGGTGGTACCAGGTACCGATACCTTAGTCAGGACACGTTGTGCACAGCTACATGTAGAACGTGTTGTCATCTACATTTGAGAGTTGCTTGGCCATGATATCCAATTGCTTGGACACATCATGCTATTTCACGTGCTATGTTTTCAATATAGCTCAGCCTCTGCCTGCTTGGTTTGGTCTTCCACCACCCTCTCCTGCGGTACTGCCGCTGCTACAAAGTTTAGTGTCCTTGTAGCACATGTTAGACCTGAATTGAAGAAAGACGATGAATCCAGTGACTCACTGTCCGTCTATCTGACGGGTAGAGTGTAGAATTCTCGCATTGCCTCTGTTGAAGGGGAACAGCTGCAACGGCCGTCAGCAAGGCGAAAGATCCCTCAAGGGTTACGTCACACGGCAACCCGTGATTCATTGTTTCGTCCTTGGGTGCCACGTTTTGCCCTCTGTGGACCACGACGACACCGCAACTACTAGCTACCGGTAGACTACTAGCTAGTATTGCCAGGAGACCTCTGTGAGCAATTGCAGCGCAATGCATCCTTTTAATACCACTGGGAGTCTCATTGTTGGTGTTTCATTGTTCCTCTTGTTGACGCGAAGCTAATTCAATCGGGTTGTTATACCTGTTTTTAGCAAACGACCACCAACGAGAGAGAGAGAGAGAGCGAGAAGAGGGTACATTGCTCACATTCAAGTCATCCCGTGATTATAGAATCCTTTCTCTTCAACCCAGAAAAATGAGTTCCAACAACAGTAGACTGGCAGCGCCAAGTTTGGCATTAGGTGCCTTGCTGTTGACTTCCACGCTGCTGCTCTGTTTGCAGCTGGACCATGTGGAAGGCTTTGTGCCCTTGTCAACGACAATCACCGCTGCCAATAAGAGATGTTCGGAACAAATCGCCACAAGACAAGGCCGTCTGTACTATTCGGCATCGTCCTTTTATGACATGGACGAAGACGACGACGAAGATGATGACGACGACGACATGATTGATCCAGATTCTCTGGGAGACTGGAGAGATTTTCGAAGAAATCTTGCCCAATCCGAGCTGTCCATGCAAGAAGGAACTGATGAAAGCAGTAGTAGTACTGTTCTTTCTTCTGTGAGAACATCCGTGTCCAAGGAAAACGAACAGGTGCTCTTCAGTCAAAATGAAGATCTAGCGGAGGAATTCAAGAACGGTGCTTGGGCGCATGAGATCTCCACTGTGAGTGCTGAACATTGATTGATCATATTGCTTGATTTCATTCGATCTGCTGACTGACCCTTCTCTCTCTCCTTTTGCCTCATAGCCGGAAGTTGGCGGCCTCATCGTACGAATGCCCATTGAAGTGGAACTCTATCGCAATCATCGACACTCCATTGTAGGCCGCAAATTGCGAAAAATGTACGACGACACTCTTGATTTGGACGATGCCAAGGCGTGGTACCGAAAGGCCCAGGTAAGCAAACAGATGGAATAGAACCATATTATTCCCTAGTCAAGTTTGTTTGTCTCTTCTTACGCGCAACTTTCTTTTGATTTAATGAAAGTTATTGGTGGAAGACTCCATGTCAGAAATCGCAAGCACTGCGGATGACAGCGGCCAGATTGACTCGACATCCCTCTCGGATGAATCCACCGAAATGCTACAAATCTTTCTCGACAATCAGGATACTTGGCAAGAAGTGTGTCTCGTAGTCGAGCGAGATGAAGACATGGGAAGGGCCAAGGCGTTGGTTCTCAACCGTCCCATGGCCATGAAATTGACAGAGAACCTCTCCCGTCTCGTACTCTATGGAGCCTTTCAGCGTACTGGCCAAGAGCAAGACAGCCACGTCAAAAAAGACCTTGTCAAGTTCATGCTGGCATTTGGAAATGAAGCTGCGGTGTATGTCGGAGGCACGGACAATCAGGATGAAGCCGCGACAATGATCCATGGCATCAAGGATTTACCGGGAGCTCGGGAAATCTCACCCGGGATCTATGAAGGTGGATTGGAGGCTGCTATTGATGGAGTTCTGGAGGGCAAGTACAATCCATTGGAATTCCGCTTCTTCGTTGGGTGCCACAACTACGAGGAGTCCACGTTGGATGTTGCTGTTGTGCTGGGAAAGTACCAGCCTCTGGCATGTGCTCGGTCGGTTGCGCTGAAACAGTGTATCAGCCTGCCAAAACCACTCTGGCACGAAGGTAAGATAGATTGTGCAAGCTTTGGTGCTCATTCCGAATCTCTAGTGATGATAACTGACCCTGTCGTGTTGTGGTGCTACTAGTTTTGGAACTATGTGGTGGGGATATGGAGGAAGTGTCAAAGCTGGAAATGCTGAAGAGAGACGACATCCTCTTCCAAGTTATTGATGAAGACGACGAAGATTTGCTAGACGAGCTGGCACTGGATGATGACGAAGATGATTATTACGATGACTGAGGATTGAAACAACGAAAGAAGTATTCTAGACATCTCGACACCAGCGCTTGTCAGAGAGCAACCAAAGCCACCACCAGTCACAGCGCTTCTTGGAACGCACCAATCTGCATGAGAAAGCCAAAGCCACTACCCACGACAGCAGATAAGGCAGGGAAAACTTCTGTCCCTTCCGACTGCAGTTCCTATTTCCCGCAATTCTCATCATCTCCTTGCAAGAACGTCTCTTGTTGCGCTGCATTTCGCCAATGTGTATGAAGCATACATCAAATTGTAACCACGCAACAAGGATAGCCTTGATTTTTCATATGACTTGCGACAGGGATGCGTTCCCTTAATCATGTCTGCAGTGCTGTAGTCTGGTTCTTTGACTGCGTCTCTTCACGCTGCAAAAGGAACTTTGCCCAGTGTCGTTCGCTGATGACACCGCCACCATGACACTCCTCGCCAACATAGAACACAACGTATTGGCCAGGAGCCAATCCTCCATCCTTCCGGTCCAGTTTCACAGTTCCTTCATCTCCACTGGGATCAATCAGTGTCAGAGTTCCCTGAACAAGTCTTGGACCATGACGAATCTTCATCTCGAAGCGTCCACTTCCGTTTTCGTGTTGTTGAACTGTAGAAGGAGGTTTGCCAGCAACCCATTTGATATCTTCAACGTGAAATTCGGATCTAGCCGCTGTGAAAATATCTTCGTCATATTGATTGGAGCAAAATACCAAATCGTGTGAAGGATCCTTGGCGACAACATACCACGGACCTTTCGCAGTTGCTTTTGGATATAGTACTTTGCCGATTCCTTTTCTCTGGCCAACTGTATGAAACCAAACACCGCGATGTTGGCCCAAAATGTCACCTGTCGCTGCATCCACAATATCTCCAGGGCGTTCTCCCAGATAGGCACCCAGGAAATCTTCAAATTTCACCTTTCCAAGGAAGCAGAGACCTTGAGAATCGGCCCTGTGACGATTTGGTAATTGGAATGACTCTGCCAGTTCTCGTACTTGAGCCTTTTGTAGATGGCCAATGGGAAAAATGACTCGCTGGAGTTGTTCCTGACTCAAGGCACACAAAAAGTATGACTGATCCTTGACGGGATCCGGTGCCCGAAAGAGTCGCATGGGTTCCCTCTTTCCAGCTTCTACGACAGTAGTTGTTGCAAAGTTTGGCTCCAACCTAGCATAATGGCCCGATGCCACAAAGTCAAAGTCTCGTCCTGCAATGGCGTCGTAGAAACACCCAAATTTGATGCGTGAGTTGCAAAGGATATCTGGATTGGGAGTTCTCCCCCGTTCAGCTTCGTGAATCGTGTAGGAAATGACTCTATCACGGTATTCCTCCTGAAGGCTGATTGACTCGAGCGACACCCCGGCTTGTTCACAGACTTGTCGACACACGTTGTAATCATCTTCCCAAGGGCACTGCCCCAGATGCGCCAGCTCGTCTTCCAACCAAATTTTGAGGTAAAAGGCTGTGACATTGTATCCTTGCTTCAGAAGCAATCTCAGTGCCACAGATGAGTCGACTCCTCCTGATAACAACAATGCCACCGTTGCCTTCTTTTTCGTTGGAATATCAGATTCTACTGCCACGGAAGAATCCCCTCTTGCAGATTGGTGCCTTCCAGGTTCCTCATTGGATTTCCCAGTTTCGTCCACGTACAATGGGGCAATGTCTCTTGTTTTTGTCGAGTCCACCGTCTCCACTGATTCATCAGTCTTTTTGGTTTCCGACGACGACAAGAGCGTTTGTATTTGGTTTTGAATCACTTGCATCATGTTTGCCAATCCATCATTTCGGCCCGGACTGAGTGCTCGACGGACTCCCATTTGTTCGGCAATCGAAGCAGGATCCATGTGACGAACTTCGTCCACGTCACAGGAGTCAAGCACCGTCATCAATGCAGCCATCAAGCCTCGACTCAGCAGTGCATCGGCGTGTCCTTTGTAAGTAACTTGGTAGTCTTCTTCTTGGTTTCTCTTTATTAGGGAGGTTTGAATGTGCACGTTCGCCACGCATCCAGGAACTTTGTCGAACGAAGATTTGAGCACTGGAGCTGTGGAAGTACTAGTATCTGATTCTTGTTCATCTTGTCGTTGCTTGAATTCAGCCCCTTTTTGCACCAGAATCTTTTGGATTTCCGGGACGCTGCAGTCATTGAATTCCCGGGAAAGCAACTCAAAGGAGTGATGGGTTGCTGGCAACGTCCAATCATGGCGTCTCCCTTGGAAAGGAAGAAGCGATGGAACAAAAGCCGATGCAACAGAGTCCAAGGGCAGCGTTACTGCTATCGCTAAGAGAGAACAGAATACACCATGCTTGCTCTTGATGTTCACCATCTTGCCTCATCCATCTTTCCTTCTGAAGTTTCTGTGGTGGACGGTTGACAGGCCAGGAGGCACAATAAGGATCCAAAGACGTGCATGTACGGTACCAGTATTAGGTTAGTCCCGATCATGACGTCTACGTCTGCCCAGAGGTAGCCCTTTCCTGTACTGTACCGTAAGGCCCTCGCTGAAAACCGTTTGATCTTGAAACGAACACGAAGACGCGCTACAGTATTTCGATGTGCCCAGCTGAAGCAAATCCGAATGGTGAATACTAGCTAGCTAGTATGGCCACAAGGCGAGCAGTCTTGCATTAACAGAAAGAGAGGCAGGTCCGCGGTAAAACAAACTGGCTACTGTGGCTGGCTACCAGTTAGCTACCGGTAGGTTTGCAATGCGGGTTCCGCTATGCGTGGTGCTCGGCCGAAAAAGTCGAGAATTTTGAAAAAGGTGATAACTCCTCAGAATGAGCAGTCAGGATTTTTGAATCAGTCGGATGGTTTGGGTTAGGGTGAAAGGAAAATTCTCAACTTGATCTTCAAATTTGTGTAGAAGCTGGTAGGTTTGAGAATTCTCAACTTAATCGGCGGAGTAGGTTCAATGGAAAAAGCAAAAATGGTACCGGTACTGGTAGCTACCATCCAACGACCGCAGCAGCACGCAGCAAGCTGCTCTGCCGGTACGGAACCAACCAAGAGCCAAAAAAGTTTCGGATTACTAGTAGGACTAGCTAGATACCTGGTACCGTAGCTACAAAAACCTGTTGAAGCGATACAATGGCAAAGCCGGCAAATCACTTCAACACTGCCCCGTTTCCATGGTTTAAGCGCCGCACCTCAAGCGCGTGGCTACCGGTAACATGACGATGACCCTGGAGGACGTGTTAGACGCACCTCTGGCCATTATCGGTACTTACAGTACGGGACCACCTGTCTCCTTCGGTACCGTACAGTGTGACCATGGAGACTTCGTCGTACTAATGGTTTCTAAATTAGCCAACTACATCTAGCTAGGAGGATGCGTTTACTGCGTTGGTATATCAAGGACCATCTGCAGTGCTTGCAAGGTCCTAGCCGCTTGGGTTACACTGCCGGCACCATTCACCCCACTCAAGCGTTGGTGACCGAGTGAGCACCCGCTCGCTGGTGATATCACTTATTGAAGCATGAGCATAACCAGTTCAGCGACAAGCCTTTCTGTAACAGCACCTCATGCATGCATTGCAACACCATCCATTCATCCAGGAAAATGGTTATACTGGTAGTTAATAATAATATGTAGTCTGATATTGAGTCATCCTGTTGAGTCAACAGCAAGCCACTCTACAAGATCGGCTGTACTGTTGTCGCCTTGTGTGTTCCACCACTTACGACATGAGCGCTATCCTCTAGGGAACAAACAACCAGAAACGTGTAAACTGTTGTTTGTTGGTGTGTGTGTGTACCTTCAAATGTACACCTATTGTGCCTTCGGCCGTTCTCTGCGGATGATTCGCTTGTAAGGACCCGTATCAGATCCCATGATGTAGTCGTATACAATCTTACTCCAAGAGTAATGTGGGTTCAGGTTCATGTAGAACTCGGGGGCGATGGCCGTCACCTTTGGTAGGTTGAATCCCGATATCTTGGGAAAGTCATGATGTTCATTGTGGTATCCAACATTGAAAGCAAAGTAGTTCAATGGTCCATAGTAAGAGTAAGTTTCCTGTCCACTGTCGTCGTTGTACAAATCATAGTGTTCTGAGATGAAGTGTCCAGCAATGGGGTGGATTCCCATGCCCAGCAAAGTGGAGATAAAGTTGAAGAGGGCCATTCTGAAACCAGTGGGTCCACTGTATACCAGCAAAGCGTCAAAGGACAGGACAAAGACAACATTGAAGATTTCTTTGGCGGAGGGTGGTTTGGGCATCGTTATCAAAGGACGGAGGGCGTAAAATAATGATTGGCACATCATCCAGGCGGCCTTCCTCCAGGGGGTATTAAAAAAACCAGCTTCCCACGTGGTGGGTGCATCGGGATCCTTTTCAGCGTCATTAAGATGGTAGTGATGGGGAGCATGATACTTCTTAAAGGACATCATGGATGGGATGGCCTGTGCCAAGTTGGCGAACATGCCCAAAGCCTCATTGAATATGGGAGTTTTGAAGGCCAGATTGTGACCCAGTTCATGGTTCCCCAGACTCAGCCAGTGCGTTAACAGACCGCCTAGACTCCACGCCACAAAGACGAAAGACCAATTACTCTCGATCTTCGAAGCAAAGTAGGCAAGTGTGAACTGAGCAGCCGTAATGGCCACCATGGAGTAAAAAAGACGGATATCAGGACCGTAAAGCTCCCTAATCTGGGGATACTTGGCCAAGATCAGACGCTGTCGTTGCGCATGGATAATCTTGGGATCCTTGGGGGTGAAGCGAGTTGCCTTGGTGGGGGTAGACATGGTGATCAGGGGAAACCTACTTTGAGTAGTACGGTCCTTGTTGTTCAAAAAGATGGGGATCCGGAGCTTGTGGGTATATACCTCTCGGAAAGCACTTTTAAACGGATTGAAAAGAGAATCAAATATGATCCTGGCAGGCAGGAAAGCTGGGTATGAATAGCTGTATGAATAGCAAGCAACGCCGCCTGTTGTGTCAAGTCGTTTTGTAGGCTCAAGTGTGATCACTGTCGCAATCCTCTGAAATTGTTGCAGCAGAATCCTTTGCTGGTTGGTTCGGCGGGTGGCGGCTTTGGCTTTTACAATGGTGGCGTGCGGCTTTGGTGAGAGGTGGAACAAAGTCTGGAGTCGAGTCAGACAAGACGTTTTCCGTTGTTTCCCCTGCACATAATTACTTACTCAGAGTAGCCATTTTCAAAAACGCTGCAGTTATTTCAAATAGTTTAGTTTCAAGTCACATCGGACGAGAAGGTCCGCTCCTTAGGCTAATTTTTTCGGTCCTTGATGGCAGGGTTTGGGTTATAAATCTGACCATCTGTCTGAGAGCTCTTTTTGAGATGGTCGACCTATGTACCAGTGTATATTTATTTAGTTAATAACTGCCGTGGGAGTGACATCTGGACGAAAAAACAAGGTCCAGGTACTGTACGGTACCGGTACGCACTGTAGCTCGGCAATGTACTGGTACCGATCCCTGACTGGTACTGTACCAGTACCCTCGACGAGTACAACACCTACCTACCAATGATACGGTAGCTCCGTTTTCCAGCTACATGTACCAGAGCGGTAGCCACCACCCCAAATCCAGAGTACTGTAGCCAGCAGTTTCATCAACTAGCTCGCTACTAGAGCTACTACTAGCCCCGGATATCGGGTGCATTATTAGGAATCCAGGTCTAGACAACTCGCATTTCCCGGGATTGTCAACACGTCTGCAGGCTGTCAAGCTGCACGAGGAGATGAAAAAATGGGAATGTCGCCTTTTGGGATCGCGTTCTGGCTCCTCCGTTTTGGCCAAGGATTATCCTCAACAAGATCTTCTCTCATGCCAAGCAACTCTTCGGGTAGGCGATTGCCTCCACCTTTTTTTGCTGTCGGTTAAAAACCAAAGCTGGTCGCTCTGGATCCGAGGCGACCCATTTTGGCGATGCGAGCAGATGAGGGGCGTGGGAGCTTCCCCGGAGGAACAACGGAGAGGCAGCATTGTGACTGGCGAACTCTCGTCTCTCGTTACGTTTGGTGGTTGGTTCAGTTGGGGGAGCTTCCCCCGGAGGAACAACGGAGAGGCAGCATTGTGACTGGCGACTCTCGTCTCTCGTTACGTTTGGTGGTTGTGCTTAGTTGGCATCTTCAAATCAAGCTCACCATTTTGTGGACTACTAGCTAGTAAAGCTAGCCAGCTAGTAGAACGTCGTACAGTAGCTGTGGCACGGGGCATCCAGCCAGTCCGTGCTGGACTCGTTTACACCTACTAGATACTAGTGCACAGCACGAGCCCATCCTGCCTTGACCGATCGAGCGTTCGCAGTGGTACGGGTACGTTTGCTACTGCTTGCTGCACTTGTTCCATTCCTACCGTAGCTAGCTCCGAATAGGAAAGCCAGGGAACAGGATCTTCTCTAGGGTACGCAGCGACATCTTGCACCCAAGCATATACATGTACCGTACTATCGCTCCAAGACAGCAGTGTGGTGTGGTGTACGGTACCTGGTACCAGTGCGTAACGGTACCGTGTGCTTTCTCGTCAGCTGTTACTACCGCAGCAGAGTCTCTCCTTGATCCAAACCTGTCTCGACTGAAAGGCTATGGAAGTGATGTGGACATTCGTTCCGGACCTGGAAGTTGAAATCTCGCGTGATCAGGATCCTGATGTCGGCCGAGTGTGACTGGCATTGATGCCAAGAGAAACCTTGCAATGCTAGGATCGTTATGTGAATCTTAGACTGCCTCGATCAAACGCTGGGCCAGATAGCCACTTTAGTAGCAACTTTAGTATTGACTGCGAGTTGTTGGATGTTCGAGAGAGCGAGGAACCTGGAACTGCACTCGCCTTTGAACCAATGATTGCCATCCTAATAAAGCTTTGGTACCGTTCCGTACAAGGGTATTCTCGGAAGCAACGAGCGATTGACACCCAAAGCTTACAAAACGGTCTCATTTTTTTGAAGAACCCTGGTTTGCATTGGTCGCCCTTCCTCGGTCAATCGTTGTGGATGCTTGACATCGTCAAAAGGAAAGATATCTGATTGGGCTCGTTCGTGTGTTGCCCAAGAGACATGAATTTGGCAGGAAGAAACGACTTTCTTTCCGAGCCAAACAGTGGTGATGAGCTGAGGGCCTGTTACACAAGCGAACGCGTCTCGACAACAGCAATGACATCGACGAATCAACTTCAAGGTTTAAGCGGTAGCAGGTGGGATGACACGGAGAAAAGGGTTGGCAACCAACCCTTTGTTGATTTCCTGGTTTCCTGCAGGAAACAGCCTCCCGAGAGGGGGCTTTCGTGGCTGTCTGCAGAGAGCGCATTGACGGAAACGGATGACGAGGATGACAATTCTTTCAAGTGTACGGAAGAAAAGGCGGTTTTTGAGGGTAGCAAACTATCCCCGGGTCGAAGGCAAGGTAGAGGCATGCTGCCCACAGCTCACGGCAAAACATCGCCGATACGCTTTGAAAAGCAAGGAATGAAATTCTCCGGAAGGAGTCCGAAAAGATCTTTGGTTTCCCGATCAAGAACCTTTGATCCAAATTGGCAACAGCAACAGCTGCACAAAGAAGATTGCAGCGAGAGCAGCCCTCCATTCATGACCTTACGATGGTCAACAGGTGGCATCAGAGATACCCTGCTTAGGTTCCCATCTAGATCCGAGGCCTCGGTTGGCGGTGATAGTAGTTCTCTGGAAGATAGTGGTGATGAAGCGTTATCCTACCTGGGGGCGTCCATTTTCATGTTTGACAGTGCCACCAACAAGAGCAGCGACTCCATGAAGTTTCAAATTCGGAAACAAAGCATGACCAAAGCTAGCCGTCGCCAGGCAGAACACGACGGGAGATCCTTGCGACGAAACAAGACGTTTGCATAGTCACTGGCTCTGGTCATATTACTTTGGCTTTGCGGGGGGAAGGATAGGAGTGTCAGTTTGTGAGATCTTGCAAGTCGGCTAATTGTTTGAAGACGTGTATTGCTTACTCTAACTAACAACTAGTAGTTTGATGCTCTCTGTTGCTGGTGGTTTGTTGAATAGTTGGTACCTGGCAGCATGGATGGATTGAATCATTCGATATACTTCGCTACATTCTTATGCATAGTCAGCTACTCGTCGTCTGATCATGTCTGGTGCTTCAAGTGGCATTGATCACATCCCCTCTGAGCAACGCAGCGACGGACCTGCCTCATTGGATACGTGCAAGGCCTGGGCATGGCCCCAGCCACGGTCCGAAGACGATGCCTCGTTGACACCATTCCCTTCTCCAGAATGGTTCGCGGGCAGTACATGTAGTTTCTCCTTTCAGGATTGGGGGACTCCACAACCCATCTAAGGCTACCGGTAGAAGGCCAAGCAGGGGTATCAAGATTTCAACACCCAAAGCAAGGCTTTCGTCGTTCTCTGTTTGTGTCTGGGGTCTCGTACCACCAACTTCTACAAAGCAGCCAGCACGCCATTGACCAACCAAAGAAACAAACAAATAATAACTACTACCGTAGCTAGCTAGACAAGGTTGCCAGGTCGTTATGTGTGATTAGTTTATCCTTTCGTACTACGGTATGTTCTGGACTTGCTTGGCTCTCATTACATGCTGCAATCTTTGGCAACATTTTCTGCCAAATGAGCCAAGGCTATGGCCGGACAACACACCACTTTTCGGTACGCATCTTCTTGGTACCTCTTGAGATACAGTGCAGTACAGTAGTACCGTCCATGGATGTCTCTCGTGATGGACGCAACCCCAGACGGCCCTTGAGCGACAAAACAGTGGTATGATATACAGAAGTAGGTGCATCATCAAAATCAAGCATGATCTGTAGTATACAACCGTGTGAGACTCTCTCCCGAAGAACAGTCTCTCTGTTGGAACACAGTACAGCACGGTAGCCTCTCATCAAACGTGTTGTGGACTGTTGTTCAATTGCAATTCATCCATGGCCTGATCCAGAATTTCATGAACACCAGAGCGAGGCTGTGTCGGTAGGATGATGGTGTTTCGATGATGACTGCCGCTACTCTGTAATGATGATGATGATGCTGTTGACGCTGACGACCTTCCTCTGTTACGCGGCGGCAAGAGTCCATCCTTGAGTGCAAAGTTGGTTTCGAATGACCCAGTGCGTTTGGGTTGCTTCAGTGTCAAACGAGGGTCATTCTTGTGAACGGCAGCGACAGGATCACGCGACGGATACCTCATGCGGTTGTCCATAATGGCCTTGGGCATGCTATCCCAACGCGACGAATGTTGACTACTCGTGGAGTGTGTGGAGCAATCCAACGACATGTTGTTGTTGTTATTATGTGCGGGAGGGTAGTGCTGATCCTGATCACAGGCACCGCAGCGGGGGTTATCGGCCACCACTTGCGGAAGCTCGGGACAACTGCCAATCAAGTCGCGCAGATAGAAATGGAGCGGCAGGTTTGTCATGGTGTACTAGTAGTAGTGTAATGGCTGAAAGCTGATCGCTGCTTGCTAATGAAGGAAGAAAAATGAGCGTTGGGTAGTCTAGCTAGCTTCCTTTGAGTGAAGGGTGAAGGTCGTGGCGCCAGAAATATGCATGTGTAACAGCTTCCTTTGAGATAAAGCCGCTCGGATGCTCGGACAGTTGCAATGATGGGATGCGATGGTCGTAGTATGCACTCCGAGTAGCGATAATGCGTATTGCGTGGTTGTACCGGTTGTGTTCAGTTCGTTGATCGAAAAAGAATGGTTTGAAAATGTCAATTTTGCACCTTCGGATGCCACCGTTCCGCTTCAATTAAGGCAATTGGTACCCCCATTTCACGCTTAGCATGACCTATTTATTAACGCTGAGTCATGTGTCTTCTAACATTAAATAAAAGACATTTTATGGTACTTAACCACTATGTTCCGTGAATATGGGTATTAATAGGGTTGAGGCTTTGTTTGGGGTTCGTGTCCATTCAATCGGAGTTCCCATCCGTGATCCCATCGATCTTGGTCCAGTGGAACCTCCAACATTTCAAAACCAATGCCATCCCTTTCTCATTAATTTTCTACTCTTGCAATTACAATTATCCAAATCCAAACCAAAATCAAAAACCATGAACAACTCCTCTGCAGTGTTCCTTAGCAATGTGGACGATTATCTGGCCCCATCCCAAGCATGTGTGAACCCGCTCTACAACAGCAACAGTGAAGACACCAATAATCAGGATACCCCTGCTACTACTAATAATAATAAAAACAATAATGTCATTCATCCGACCACCGAAACCAATAATCAAGTCATTCCGCGTCAACGCAAACGAAGAACTCGCATCAGTCCTACTACTGTTAATAGTGGGGAAGAGCAAGGAGGCCCGGTGATTCCAACAACTGAAATGTTGAAGAATAAAAAAGATCCCATCAAGGCTTCCATGGCAGATTGTTTGGCCTGTTCGGGATGTGTCACCACGGCCGAAACGGTCTTGTTGGAACAACAGCATTCCTTGACGGCATTGAAAAAGGCCATGCACGAAAACAATAGCCAAAAGTTGGTAGTGGCCACGGTATCTCCCGCCGTTTGGGCCGATTTGTTGCGGCATTTGCAAGTTCCACCACACGATGCGATTCGAATCAAGCTACAATTGGTCACTTGCTTACGAGAAATTCTGCAAGTTGCAGCCGTGCTGGATGGTAATCTGCCCTTGCAGTGGTCGCTCTTGCAAGCGGGAGAAGAATTTTGTCGTGCCCATCAGCAAGCACAAATACAGCAACAACAACAACAAACACAGGCACAACCACAGGCAGGAAATTTTAGGCATCAATTGGAACTGCAAAATACCCCTTCAATCGCTGTGAATTACCAGGAAACTAAATTCATGCTACCCGATGGAAGCACACATGTCATTCCCAATAATACACCTGCTTCACCTCCCTCTTTGCCACTCTTGACATCGTCGTGTCCGGCATTGGTATGTCTGGTGGAAAAATCGACTCATGGGGCCGTGCGGCATTTGGCTCATTCCAAGTCACCCATGAGTCTGGCGGGGGCTTGGTGGAGAAAACAACAACAACAACAACAGGAACTATTCCACCTGGCGTTCATGCCCTGTCACGACAAAAAGCTCGAAGCATCTCGCAAGGATTTTGCAAGGCCCACACTGTTAGGAACAAGTGAGGACCAACAAGATGTGGATTTGGTCCTGACAACGCAGGAATGGTTCCAAATGTTGGCCGAATTCGCATACGACAAGGCGTCCTCGAACAACGCTATCATGAAACCCGTCGAGGAATACACCCAGGAAGAATTGCGTACACTTGTCAAGAGCTATCTGGAAACGTTAGAACCTGCACCCATGCATGCATTGCAGCTCAACAACAACACCCTCGCATTGCCAGAACCCATCCAACGCCAAGGGACACTTCTCGCTGCTCAGGAAGATGTGGCTGCAGCTTCTCCACATTCCATCATGACAACAAGTGACATGGAGATTGATCAGAATCACGACGACGACGACGACACCACGGGCAATAATAATGCTCAGATGGACATTGATGATTCGGGTGGTGTGGTGACAAATAATAATGGGCACAACAGCAACAGCACGTCTCCAGAGAATGCATCCTTCTTCACCATGGGGTCTGGTGGCCTGGCAGAGTTTGTGTTCCGCTATGCCGCGTGGCGCTTATTCCAGACGGATCTATCCGATACCGAAATTGTATGGAAACCAGTACCCACAGCCACGAATACAAGTGGCAAGGTGGTCAGTGCTCGCGTACGACGAGCAGCCGCCAGGAATCGTGACTATTATCAAGCGAGTCTCTATCGACACGACGACGGATATTCTTGCGAGGAAGCTCCTGGAGCCGTTCCGGTCCTTCGTTTTGCCATTGCGTACGGACTGCAAACCCTCCAACGAGTCCTCGAGCCATTCGCCAAGAAGAGTGACGGCTATCCGTTTGATTTTGTCGAGGCCATGGCATGTCCCTCGGGATGTTTGAACGGCGGTGGACAAGTACGGGTGGCGGATCGAGAAACTCCCACACAGACGCGACAACGTGTTGCAGCGACACGAGACTTGTTCGTGTCGCCGTCCTCCAGTTCCAGCAGCACTACATTGCAAGAACTGGAACGTACCTTTGGGCCTGGAGAGCTTCAAACCAACTTCCATGTAGTGCCACCGTTACAGCATTCCCTGGGAGCTGCCGCTGGCGTTGCTGTTAAGGATACGCAGTGGTAAAGACCTCGTTCAGGATCCCTCCACTAAAACAATCGAGGATGTCTCCAACAAACGCTCTAGCTACCGGTAGGTAGATCGAAACCATGCATCTTAATCTCGTATTACCGGTACCCGTCTATACATTTCATTTCTTACAGCCGGCTATAGATTCTAGTAGGCTAGCTAGAGATATCATACTACTGAGCCTTTTTCTTTTTGCCACCGCCTCGACTGACTCCGGCTGCCCCCAACAGGAAATCATTGGCTGCCGAGGCTGCACTTCCGTATGCAACCGCTTTCTTGGGATACCGGCTTCCCAGCAATCGTTTTTCCACCCCATCCAACTTGCTCTTGTGGGTTGTCTGCAAGAACATTTCAATATTTTCGGCTTCTCCGCGTAGCATCTTTGCATTGGCATCTCCGCCACTGCCAGTAGCTGCAGGATTGGCAGGAGAAAAGCCCAGTTGTGTCATTACGATTTGCTGTTCTTTCTGTTCCTGGGATGGATCCCCAATGGCCAATTTGAAGAAACTTCGCAAGCCAAACATGACTAGAAAGTACCACGATACAGATGAAACATAGGATGTATCCAGTGTTGGCAATTCGAACAAACCTCGTTGGAACATTTGTTTGAATCCAAATGTCAATGGGAATGGAACCTTGAGCAGGATAAACCCCGAAAAGAAATGCTGGATGCCTTGCATCATGACCATATTTTGAACCATAAACGCCATATTTCCCTTCATCATGGATAGAGGATTCATCATGTTGCTCATGGGATCATCGTCGGCCGCACCCGAGTCATCTGCCTCGACCAATGTACCATCTTCCTTCTTGACCATTTTCTTGGGTTTCCCAGCCGCCTCTGCTTCATCACTTTCACACCACTCTGCCGTATCTTGCAACAATTTGGCATAATGCATGCGGCGAATTTGCCACTGCCAGGTAGAGATGTAGTGAGAGGCACCTGACTTGAGCTTGGAAGCATGACGGGCAGTCCCCTGGGCTCGTTGTTGGATGAAATTAGACTTTTGAGGATCCGCCTTCAAAAGCACTCCGACATTTTGGCGCAGCAGACCAGCTGCGATCATAATCACAAACAGTGGCAACACCACCCAATCGCGAATGTCGGAATCCAGCAGCAGAGTCGTCATGGTGATACTGGCTAACTATAGATAATATAGGAGCAACACGAAACAAACAACAATGAAGGCAAGGATGGAATGATTTGGATTTTGGTTGGTCGCAATGGTCGACGACGAGCAGCGGCGTCAAAGCTGCTGTTACGGCAAGGATACTGAGCAAATGAGCGTCATTTGACGTCCCTCGCCCCTTCCCCACATTCGTCGTCATTGGTGGTCAAACCTCCACTGTCGATCAGGTTGAGGAAAGCATGGATCAAGCCTATCAAGATGGCAATGAGAATGCCACACCAGATTTAGAAGACGAGATTTGGTCAACCTCAGGCAGCCCCGAAAATTGCAGGACTGTCCAAGTCAAAAAGATGCTTCATCAAAGCAGGACCAATATCATCAGTAATGCAATATACGGTGGGCTACTCTGTGCCCACTGATTCGATTCGTGCGGCTGGCTGGGCAAGGAGACAAGTCTTTGCCTGGTGCCAGTTCCATCTGGTGGAACGCAAAGGAATGTCCATGGGATCTCTCCAAAAAGATCCTCGCGGGTGGGATTGTGATGTGGCAGTGGAAGCGTCAGAGTAACCATACGGTACATGTGTAGGAACGTGATGATGGCAACCGCTACATGTGCCATGGGATTGTTGTAATACTGGCTAGCAAAGTTTCTATTAATTCTACTCTTTATTCTAATATGTTATGCAGCTACAGCTGAAGTTGGTTCGCTTTCCTCTTGTGTTTGTGTGCCCCCCATGAAAGATAAGACTTGCTCTCGATAGTCTTCACTGTCCGCCATGGTTCGAATTACAGACCATGCCTCCTGGTAGTCGACATCATCGTCGGTACGTGACAAGAGTTCCGCTCCTTCTTTTGGATCCAATGTTGTCTTGGCCGCCATTTTGGAGTCGTACTGCGAAGTGTCGTATTCTTCTCCTGCTTTCAACTCGGTTAAGTGCTCTCGTCGAAACAGGTCCATAAAGTTGGTGTCAATCTTGTCCTTGAGTTCCATGACCCACTTGCCATGAAAAGCCTGTCCAAACCGCAGTCCCAGAGCCCTACCGTCGCCGCACACAAGAAGCTTCAAGAAGTCTGATTGAGGCACATACTTCTTCAACGTGACTTTCTCAATCTCTGCATCCGTAGGAGACATGACGCCACTGTTTGCACGACGGCGGCGAAGCTGTTGCAGATAGGCTGTCAAGTTTTCAATCAGCACAGGTCCCGCTCGGACAGCAAAGACTCCGGCTTTGGGTGTGGGTAGATTGTCAATACTACAACAGTCCCCCGCGGCAAAGACAAAGGGGTGCGATGTGCTTTGCAGATGTTGATTCACCCGAATCCATCCATGCTTGGTGGCATCCAGTCCCTTTTGCTGGAGTCGGTATGCCAAGGGATGGGCTCCTGCCCCTGTGGCCCAAACACAGTGACTGTAGGGAATGATGGTTGGTTTGCCATCTATAGATGCAAAGATGCGATTCTCGGATAACTCCTGTACTTGTGATTGATGAATAACTTGAATTCCTTGTTCTCGCATGATTTGTTGTAGTTTTTCACGGCCGCGTTGGGATTCCCCTGGCAGGAGCTCCGTCCCCGCATCCAGCAATGTCACTTGCGTATTCTTGTTGGGTAATTGAGACCGAAAGCGGCCATTCAAGGCCATGGACAGCTCCACACCAGCGGCACCGCCCCCAATGACAACCACTCGAGGATCTGCTTCTGCTTCTGGTTGTTGTGCTTCATCATCTCTGATCACTTCCTCGATGGACCGGTCAATGCGCTCGACCAGCTTGGAAATGGGTCGAGTGGGGATGGTGAATTCTCGTGCACCAGGAGTGTCATCGAGTCCCCGTGAAGTACTGCCAATGTCAATGCTGATGCAATCAAAGGGGATGGTCTGATGACGATTGGCGTCTCCACTGGTGGTGGGGGATGTCGCCACGCGGACAAGTTTTTGTTCCAAGTCAATGTCCACCACCTTGGCATGGACAAAGTCAATACCAGCCCATTCTGCCAACGGTTGCAAATGCAAGAGTGTTTCGTCCGGTGTGTACCGTTGGTATATACATCCTGGGACCATGCCGCTGTACGACGCAGCCGATTGCTGGTCAATCAGAGTGACTTTCAAGTCCGAAGGACGACTGGCCCAATTCAATGCCTTGATGACTTGAGCATGGGCATGACCGCCTCCGACCAACACTAAATGTTGTTGTTGTTGTTGTTGTTGTTGTTGTTGAGATGATTGCTGAAACGTCTTTTCATCCGCATGTGGTTCCAAATGTGCCGATTGCTGCAACAGCGACGGCCGTCTCAGCGGAACTTGGCCGCGGTTATGGTGACGGTGCACCGAGGGAGAAGAAAGTACTCGGAGAGCATTGGCAGTGGAATCTCGCAGTGGAACTGGCATGATAATTGCTGCCAGAAGGAAGAATATCAGATGAACGAAAATTGATGTGGCTGTTTGATGGGATCGGTGTCGCCTACTGGATGCCGAAGCCCTTTGTGTTGGTTTTGTGAACGCTTCCATACTTTTCTGCTTTTGTGACTTTGATGGAGATGTCATTTCAGTTTCCACACTTCTGAGTCCGAGCTTTCCACAGCTCCCGTAAGAATGCATCATCTTATTCGGCACATCATTGCTGCGTGGGCCTTCATTTTGGTTGCCGTGCCACCGTCAAACAGGTCAGGCTTTCAAACACAAGCAGCCCCTGCCCTTTTCCTGTTTATTGCAGGTTCGTGGAGCAAGAAGCGAACGAACATGGCTGAGTCAGAAACCTGACACACCCCAAAAAAGTATCCACGTTCCCGGATGACTCGATTCCACGGCGTGGGCAAGCTTCTTTGTCGCAGGTCGCAGGCCATTGGCACCGGTACCAGCGAAGCAAGTACATGTGGCAAAGCCTGAACACCACACTCGAGAATAACACATTTAGGTACCAGGTAGTACATGGGCCAGGTTGTTGTGTTGGTCCTGTGCTTCAACGAAAGAGATCGCGAAGCTCGAGTTGTCGCAAGAGCGTAAAGGAAAGCCAAACAAAGAATACGAGGCAAAGTTCAAGACAGTCCGATCAGTGTACCTGGTAGTCGGACAGCAGAAGTAGATATGAACAGGCGAATTCTTGAAGCTATCTTGAAACAGTTCTGGGCTGACAGACGCATCGAGCATGGCACCGCGTGATAACTTGGAGTGGAGTCGAGTCGGCACAACTAACTAACCCGACAAAGGATCTTCACCGGATTGGATTGGATTGGATTGAATCGAATCATTCATTCAATCTTCTAGCCAGCTAGATTCGTGGCCGTGTACCCAACCAACAGGAGAGCACGTTATAAGTCTACATCATGTGGATAGTTAGTCTGCAAATGAAACGCACGAACATCCACAGCGAGAGGTGCAAACCTCTGTTACATTTTATAGTTGATATTCGCCTCGATTTCAGCTCTTCTAAAGCAGGAATTCATGGACCCAGGAAACATTTGCATTACACCACTGAGCTCGACGGTACCGGGGTTGCGGTAGCAAGATCACCACCAAAGGAACTGTTCTGTGGGAGCTTCTTGCCCTTCACAGTTGCCTTACTGACTTGTTGGACCACGTTGACGAATGCCTCAGCCTCCTTGATACCACGGATATCCAAGATAACCCCTGCCGTTTCATCACAGATAGCGTCATATTCTCTTAAACAGACACTGTGAGTATCACATGCAAAGCAAACGATCACATCTCCAGAGGCATACTTGGGGGCAATCACGCGGATATCACCCCACGGAACCAATTGTTGCGAACTCCCAGCCATTCCATACCAAGTGCGATGGCGCTCGTGCACGAACAGGATGCCTGTACGCACCAAAGCCAAATGGCGTGTGGAATGGGTTCCAACGCAGGCTCGATGATTGTTGTAAAAGATAAAGAAGACCAGGATTGCCCCCCATAAACTCTCAAGCACAAAAATGGTGAACCAGAGAAGGACCACCGATGCCAAAAGGTTCACCTTAGTATCACGCGAGATCAGGGCTTTCGAGTCAAAATCGAAAACACCCCAGATATCTTGGCGTCCTTCAAAAAAAGTATCTTGCCAGCTTGGGATGGACGCTCGAAGATGCTCTTGCTGTTCCGTCAGCCCCACAATGGTGTCCTTTGTCGCTTCCGCTGCAGCCACCGAAACCATGCCGTTATCTGGTTCATCTATGGCTGGGATTGCGGTAGCCACAGGATGATATTCTTGGCTCATCTTCACCATCTTCACCACACCGCGAAGCCAGTTTACCGGCACTACCTCCCTCAAAAAGGATTGTGTCCTTTGCGTGGGAGCATCTTTTATCAATCAGCCCTCTTTCAACCGAAATCCGCAGCGGAAGTCACTGGATCTTGGGATCGAACTCGATTGGAGTCTTGCTTCAGCAAATAACAGCTTTTACTGCCAAGATCCAAGACACGAAACCCAGTACCTGGTACCTGGAACGTCTCCCCTATGATGAATTATGATGAATTTTCTAAAACTTGATGAATTGGTGATGAATTACATGTAAACCAATCATCATGAATTAATGATGAAAGTAATTACATTGGTGATGAATTCATCATGAAACTTTGAATTCATCATCAATTCATCATGAATCCGTGATGAAATTTATTGAAAATACAGCGTGCATTTGTGCTGCAATATGATGAATTTTGATGAAAATAATTGAATTAGTGATGAATTTAAACATTCATTGTGAATTAATGATGAAAGTATTAAACTTGATGATGAATTCATCATGAGCGATTTGAGTAGTCTAATGATCAATTCATGTTGAGATTTTTCTGGTAAAATCGCCAAAAGTCAGTAAAGTGGAGACGTTCCTGGTACGGTAGAAAGAGCTGTAGAAAGCTGCTACAGTACCAGGCTGGTAGCGGTACTATGCAAGGCACCGGTACCTGGTACAACCTTCCTTCACTCGATCGCTTGTGGGTTGTGGGTTGTGAGCCGAGGCTTGACGGCTGCTGCTGTCTTTGTCAGAACCACTAATTCGATCTACGATAGCCACTACGTGATATAGCCATTAGCTAGATACTTGGTACGATCTACTCTATCAAAGAAATTGAGTTACCGTTGATTCCTAGCTAGGTTCTCAAGCATTCTGATGGATGGCTAGCTAATGATGAGAGGTTTCAACCTGCGCATCATTTTCCCTGCGAAGACTTCCTGAGTTGCTCTCCAGGAGCCTTTTGATCATCCTCATCGATTTCTGTGTCTCTGTCTCCTCCATGGTTCTGCTATCCAATGGTCGCCTTTTCTGGAATGGATGACAGAATCATTGCCAGAGTAATAAACCCGTTGGACAAGTGTTTGGGTGAAACAACAGACATTTGTAGGTGCCCGCAACAGCTTCCCCAGTCTCCAAACTTCACTTTCGTCCGGAGGACTTTTCTTGGGCTAGCTACCCTCTCTTTGTCTCTCATACCAAAATGAACAATGACTCTCTGGCTGAGCCGGTGGTCATCTTGAATGGCAGTGTTCGAAGGAAATCAATACCTGTACCTCACATACATGATATTGAACGTTGTGCTGTCAGTACTTGGGGTTTCTTCCAGGTGCGCACGAAGGACATGCTGCTGGGCTGGTTTTTTGATATGATATGGCAGCCGAGACAAGCGCGTCTTGGAAGAGAGTTTGATGCACAATATGAAGTTACAATGGATGATGAGCATCTTTGTCTGTCCTGGTGTTGGTGCTGTTGCTATTCGTGTTTAGTGCGGATGGCTCCTCGTGTGCATCGGTCGCATGAGTTCGTCACCCCTCTTTTTAGCTGTATTTGTTCTGCTTGGTGCATCCAATCTTCCTCTACCACTATGGTAGAGTACAAGAACCCATGCCACTATCTGGTAGTTGCTATTCCACCTCAGGTGCCAATGTCAGTAAGGTTACAGAAGTTGCAAACTGTTATAGCTAGATTTTTGTTTCTCCGTCCTTTTGGCCAGAAACCGCTTTGCATCTTTTGACCAACAGGAGCTTGGTGGCACCATTCATCGAATGGCAGCTCATTGAGTCCACCACGGGAGTAAACGTGTACGGTACCGTCTCTACATTGATTATATCATTCTGATACCAAACGACTCGACTCGGTGGCCGCCCCTCGACTCCTCGTGCAGGTACTATTACCGGAATCAGATTGCTCCCTCGTGTCTCCAGTTGAATCTGACGTGCCTCTTCCTTTGTAAAGTGCCTTATCATCTTTACTCTACATTGCCACGGACTTTTTGAACAGAAACAATGGAGTTATGTCGCACACAATAACAACCACAATGCAATTCTGCTACATTCATCACCTTCTCGTTGGTGACTTTTTACTACTGTCCTTGGTCCACGACACTTCTTCTGTGGGTGGTGCGGTGCTATCGTCTTCTCGGCTCCACCAGAACGGGTCTTCCTCGGTACGGCTGGCCCAATCATCTTGAATGGACGCAAAATCGACCGAGGCATCTTCTCGTACATTTTGACTGACACGATGGGTGCGCTTGGGTCTCCCCAAAAAGGACCAGCCAGTAGATTGTTGTCGCGGTTCATGTCGCTCGGCCGTCACAGGCAGCAAAGCATCCGTCAAGGGGTCGTTGGGATCGGACGGTGCGTTGTTGGAAGAAAACCACCATGGTCGATCCGCCATTCGATTGCGCCGTGCTGCCCTCGCACTGGCTCTGGCGTCCTCCATGGCTTCCAGAATGTGAATTTTTCGTTGCAAGTTCAAGACCAATTGCCATCGTACACATTCCAAAAGAAAGACTCCAAATAAGAGTAGTGTGAGTGCGAATTTGTGTGAATTTTCCCAATTCTGTAGAAATTTCCAGAGCATGTGATGTTCTTCGAGGTATTTTCGGACATGACCCGGAAGGATCAAGTTGATGAACATCAAGACAAACCATGTACAGGCCATGATGGGAGAGGCACCGGCCGAGAAGGACAAGCCACAACGGTGGCACATGTCTTCTGTTCCCAGCGACAGTGCACCGCTGAGACCACGAATCGTCAAGACAACTCCAGAGCCAATGATAAATACCACGGCGACCGTAGAGGCGGAATGAGCCATGACGGAACCATAAATCAAAATCACAACTCCCAGCACAATATCCAGAAAGTGCCACACTTGCATTACTTGATAGAGTGTGATGAAACCGCAGCTGTCGGGGTCCACTTCTTCTTCCTCTTCGGGTGTCGCTTCCGTCGATGTCACTTGCAGGGACGTTTTGGCCGCATCATTGGCAGCGCTAGCCCACGGGTTGTCGGCAGTGTCATCAAGCATCGTGTACTTTGTTGTTGTGTGTTCTATCAGCAGTTCTTCTTGTCTGTTTTCGATTGCTGTTCTGTTGTTGTTATTGTTGATTGCGGACGCTGCTGGTCTGTGTTTCGTGGTTTTGGGGCTGTTCGCTCTATTTTCTCACGGGACTCAATCGACCGCGCACCCAACCATTCGCGAATGGATCGTGACTAAACTTATTCCACGTTCCACATCGTGGATATTGGACCAGGCAGGGTCCTGCATGCCTAAGACTCTTCCGTCGCATACCGGTACATCGTACTGGTACCCTCTAAGCACTTGAACCTGTTCTAGAAGTGCCATTGACAGTTCCTGTCCTTGGTGGTATTGTCCTCCATGCTCCCAAAACAAATAGGCCCACCAGAGAGCCCCCCAAGGCGAGGCCACCAGGGACAAACCTCAGTCCTCTATAATGTCAAGTTGCGCTGGTAAGGAAGGTTCGGATCATTTCAAGCCCCCTGAACCTCTGCAGTCTAACTAATGATACTATTTGCTTTTAAAAAGGACACAGAAAAGCTTACAGATTGACCCACTTCAAGGGATTACGCATGCCTCATCGTCCCAGCTTCCACAAAAGTTGCCTTCGCTCAAAATGACATGTTGGCAGCAGCTACTAGTATCGGTATCGTTTCCGCCAGAGCCGGAGCCAGCACTACAATTCGGTCCGCCACAGTCACCGCAACTCTGTGCACAGCAGGCGTAACCCTCGAATGATAGGATACCTGTCGTGCAGGGCTCGCAAACGGAACACATGGCTTCCCAGGTCCCATTCCTTTGAAATGGCGTTCCAGAGGAAGCAATGCAGTTCGAGTCCAAAAACATTTCATGTGCGCTTAGTGTCTCCAGAAGTCTCGGTCCCCAAGGACAAAGGTTCTGGTTAAACGAAGTTGCACGCGTAAACATCCTTGACAAATCCGTCGCCGACGTGAGATTCCATCCGGATATGTCTTGGTTGAAAGCACTTGCTGATCGAAACATGGAATGTGCTTCCCTGACCTTCGACACATTCCATCGAGAGAGGTCCTGGTTGAAGGCGCCATTGCCCAAAAACATGGACTGCATTCTTGAAATTCTTGCAACGTTCCATCCCGAAATATCCTGGTTAAACCTGTCAGCATCCCAAAACATATACCAGATGGTTCCGACTCTTGAGATGTCCCACGAAGAGATATTTCTGTTGAATCGACTGGCTTTAGCAAAGGACTCTCCCATGTGAGCGACTTTGGACACATCCCAAGCTTCAATGTTGCCATTAAAGACATCGGTATGGGCAAACATGAGTTGCATCGATTGGAAACGGGATACATCCCACGGCAAATCACGATTGAAGCGACTCGCTGATGCAAACATCCAATCCGGTCTCTCCAGGCTGGACGTGTTCCACGATGAGACATCGCCATTGAAGATGGAAGCGTTGTGGAACATGTACTGTGAAATTCTCACCTGCGATACATCCCAGGTGGACAAATCTTGATTGAATGACACCGCGTTCTGAAACATATTGGCCATTGAAGTGACTTTCCCGGTGTTCCACATGGATAGCTCCTGGTTGAAGGAAACTGCTCCTTTGAACGTCCCTTCCATTGTAGTCACCTGCGATGTATCCCAATCATTGATGTTCTCGTCAAGGTCGGCCATGTCTGCTAGCAAATTGGTGAAATCAGTCACTCCGGAGACACACCAAGCCCCCATTGGCCAACCAAACGTATCTGCAATCGCTGTGTTGGGTCCACTGTCGTCAAGATATAACTTCAGGGCTGCATCGAGCTGAAGGCGGGATTCGAAGCACTGCCTTGTTGGACTCATAGTTGGTGTGTGGCTGTTGGATGGACTTATACTTGGTGGATTGGACGGGTCCATGCTCGGTGGATTGGATGGACTTATACTTGGTGAATTGGGCGGGTCCAGGCTCGGTGGATCGGAGGGTGCAAGAGTCTCTTGAACCGTTGATATTGTTTCATTGGCTGTCGCTGGGTCATCGTCTGGTGTTGGAGATGCTGGGTTCTGAGTACCATCTGTTTCTACGATTGCCTGTGGGGGTGTCGAAGACTGATCGCGATTGGTCACCACCAGGACAACGACAACAATAGCGCCCCCCACGAGCAGAAGGACTGCAGCTAACCAGAATTGACTGCTACGTGATTCTTCTCGTCGGGGCACAGCATGGGCTTCCGCCATAACGACATTTTGCAGAACTTGCTGTCTACCAAACTCTTCTGCCTCTTCGAGCCGTTGTTGTTCTAGGTCAACATTAACAGCTTCTGCTTCAATTAGCACCGGTGGATTCTCATTATTATTGGATTTCTCTTCTTCATCAGATTTGTCGCTCTCTTCTTCGGGTTCACCTGCTTGTTGTGGTATACAGATTTCTTCATCTCCACCGGCTCTGGAGTCATCGTTGTCTTCCTGTTGCGGTTCGCTCCTTCTCGCTCTTGCTTCTTTGGACATTTCAGAGATTCGTCGCTTCTCGCCCAGCACACTGGTGTCGTCTCCACCGGCTCTGGAGTCATTGCTGTCTTGCTGCTGCTGTTCGTTTCTTCTTGCTCTTGCTTCCGTGGACCTTTCAGAGATTCGTCGCTTCTCGCCTAGCACACTGGTGTCGGTGGTGTGCTGTATCCTTGTGGGTGTCGTTGAAGGCTGGCGTTCCCGCCGACCGTGTCGCTCCTGCAACCGAGATTTGATATCTTCGGGTGCTGGCAATGCCAACTTCGTTTCTGCATCGGTATTCGAGGGACTTGCCGGTGCGGTATTATCAGCGCCAGAGGCAAGGTAGGGTGGTTCAAGTGCCGAAGAGTTTTCAACATCGCCGACTTCGGTAGTTTGGGCTGCACTAGCATCTCCCTTCTTCATGTCCAAACACTAATAAATGGGAGCCTTTCGCACTGATGCTGGGTCAACACCGCCCTCTTAGTCCACAACAACTAACTTTGCAACTTTGCAGTCGGCGCATGAGCAATTAATAATGGTAAAGGCTCAAAGCTCAAAGGCTGAGGCTCAATTGTGTTGGGTGCCTGCTAGAGTACTGTACTGTTTTGTCTTGGCACATGGCAGTGAAGATACCGCCACCGTATGCAAGTCTGCAAAGACGGCAAAGACCCCAACATACGTTCAGTAGTCACGAATCCTGCATGACATACCGTATGTACGGTACCACATTGCGTGTCAGTGCTATGGTATATTACCTGCCTCGATCCAGCGAACTCAATGACAAATCCATTGTGTGTCCTTTGGTTCGAAGGTGTCCTTTGAAGTAGGTTCGAACGACTACGGTAGAAGACAACCCAAAGTCCATAAAGCTAAGAGATTCCAGGTTGGTTTCCGGGATGACCACAAGCCCATCACTGGTAACTTTGGCTTGGCGAAACTCCACAATTAAATTCTCCGGGGGACGATGACTTGCAGAGGGTTTAGACTCTTCTCATAGGTTCGAGGGGACTGTGTATTCTAGCTAGCTAATTGTATCTCGACTGCTGATTGAGTGTTCCTTGAACAGTTAGTTGATCCATCAAAAAATACAATTATGAATCTTTTCAAAAAAGCAGGGCACCCATTATCATCTGTGCTTCCCCGGTCCAGTCACCAGCCGCACTACCGCAAGGTAGCTATGGCTTTTGTTTATCACGGTGGGACGGCTTCGGTCGGCCACTCATGATGCATCAAAAAATATGTTTTGAAGAACGTTGACTGCCGTCCATCTCTCCCTCTGCTCCCGCACTATATTATAGTAGCAGCAATCCCCTCGCCTTATTAGGTATACTTGTCCATGATGGCTTGTTGCAGCGTTCGATCGTTTGGTGGGGGTGCTTGTTGTTGTTGTTGTTCGAGAAAGAGACCGAGAGACGTTTTTCTTCTGCGGCTGTGTTTCTTTTTTCGTCCCCTGCGACTCCTGGTAGATTGACTAATGGATGTGACGGTTCCATGAGTGCCCACAGTGGCTTTACTACACACGGATTCCGCAAAGGACATGACACTCATGCTGGCATCCGAGGATCGTTTTCTGGCCGCCGAGGCAATGGAGACCCCGGAAGTTCGTCTGGCACTACTGGAATCGGAGAGTCTCTTTTTGGCACTGGCAATGGTATGTTGGCTGGCTTTGGAGGGTTGTGCTCCATTGAATCTGAAATTGCATTCGAGCATGGCGACACTGGCTTCGAGTGTGTGTTGACTGAATCTTACTTCCGAAGGCAAATGTCCCTTGAGCATTTTCTTGGCTTTGTATTCTAGAATTAAATCGACCACGACAAAGCCAGTCTCTTCATTTTGTTGAATTTCAATCGTCATGATCTCTTCGTCTTCTTCTTCTTTCCATGCGGATCCCCGCAAACTGACATCAAAGTTGACGGTTTCTTCATCATTGAGCGTCTTGACGACACTCAAACTGGGGTCTTTATCGTGACACTTTTGTCCATCCACGTAAAAGGACCTGCCACCGTCGATCGAATCCACTTTGATGGTCCCAATGTGACAATCCATGCAAGCGCAAGTCCGTCGATAGGCCCACTCTTGACCTGGTAGGACGCCATTTTGGATGGATATCGGCTCGAATCCATTAAAAAGGTCACTGCCTTCTTCTTCTTCCTCTTCGTCTTCTTCCTCAGGTCCAATCTCCACGGGATCTTCATTGAACACTGTGATATTGATGGGTTTGTTCAACTCGTTAATCACGTGGAATTCAATCGGTTGGAAGCTACCAAAGAAAAAACTGTTCGTCATGGCCGCTGTGTCATCTTTCGATCTGCCCTTTTGAAATAAACTATTCAGCCAGCCCATGGTTGGTGGAAGTGAAATGACTAGCTAGGCTAGACTAATGAGATTGATGATATGGCTTGCTTTGCCTGGTTACTTTTGGCTGCTTTTCGCTTGCTGGGTTCTGGGTTTTGTGACATGCTCCCGCGCTTGAAGTCTTTGCTTTGCCCTCGGCCACCATGCAGCCAGCCTCCCCACCGGTTTTGTCATGCAGCTTTGACGCCTCTGTCCAAGATCGGATGCAATCGAATCATGAACGATTCGTGTCTCAAGCCGAATCGCGACAAAACGAGCAACAGTCGTTCGCTCACAATGTTGACAAAAGCCCCGACGATCCTTCAGAGTTTGTTGATTGATCATTAGCATTGGAACCTGCCGTCAACCGTAACAAGCTGTAGCTGGCCAGAGAGACTGACTCGACTCTGCCATTGAAACCAAACAGTATGTCCTTGATGCGTCCTAAGAAGAAATCTCGATATGACCCACCCTCAAAAAATGACGGCAATGACAATCTCCTCACGGAAGACTCTCGCCGTCGCATTCTTTCCTTCCTGAAGCCCAAGGAACTGCTCACAGTTGCTTCAGTGAGCAAGACATGGAAGGGATCAGCAAATACGGTGGCTGAACAACACCTGGATGAAACCAAAGTCAACCATTTGGTTAGCAATGACTGGAAAGAACGCCTACAAGCACATTTCACAAACAACAATAAAACCCCCTCCTCCATTCCTGCTCGGTGTCTTTGGATGGCAGCACAAGTCTTGCCTCTCAACAAGTTTGAATTCGAAGTGGATCTCACAAATGTTTGTGCTCCTTTGGATCTCCAAGCAGTGGGTGTGCCACTAGCTGGTGGAGGTTCTGCGTTTGCTTTCCTGACGCGGGATCTGTCCATAATTGTTTTGGATACGAAAACTGGCAAGTGGACATTTGTAAATGCCATCACTGGAGATTCTAGTCCAATCCATGACATGCCAAATGAAGGAGAGGATGAATGCCCACTTGGCTTTCTACAGATTTGTGGTGAATACTTGGTGGCGCTATTCTTTCCCGATAGCAAGTATTCCGTTAGTGTTTGGCGAATTGGCAGCAACCTGGATTTCTTACACCACATCAAAATTCCTGCACAGCCTCAACTAAAACGCTATCCTGTTGAAGTTGTGGTAAAAGAAGGAATGCTGATTTTTGAGTACCAATGCCGCTGGAGAAATGGGATGTCCCTCCAGTGCCCTCCTGGGAACGTTCGAGACGATCACCGGCTCAGCCAAAGCGTCATGGATCAGTTTCCTATGGAAAAATGTGAATCCTTTTCGAAGATCCTCCGGGCTGACGTATATGATTTGGAGACTGGGAAAGCTGTATTGGACTCTATAGGCACCCTGTCCCAACCATCCTTCAAGAAAGTCTCTTACTCTGCTGGTAGCCTCCATTCCAGTCAAAGCTACCATTGGATTTCGGAGGGCCGTTGGATTCCAGACAAAGACAGCGTCGCTGATGTACCAAAGATTTACGAAGTCAATCGATATGTTGCTGCACAGCAGCCACTGCTAGTCCGAACACTGTTGCCCAGTGCAAGTGTCAAAGGAGTTTACTCAAGCAAGAACGAAGTCTTTGCCTATCATTGTGTTGAGAGAGCTCATGATGGTCCTTGGTGGGAGCACGGGCAGATCGAAGCCTTTCTCCTGCCTTAGTTTTGGTGCCCTACCGGAACTCGTGTGCATGGCAACACAAATAAAAATGACATTCAAGTCACGAATTGCTCGCTTCATGCCTCCAGCTTCAGCAAGACTCGTTGCAAGAGAACATCACTGACGACCAGACAAGATACCTACAGGTACCAGTACGATATTTGTGCAATTGGTCCAGTAGAGCTTCATTATTTGATCCATTTGGAGCCAGTTGTATAACGAAAGACTCTGCCACGAACCAAGCAATATGTCCTTGATGCGCCCTCTGAAGACGCCTAAATTTCATTTCATCACGAGCAAATGGTTTGAATCTGATTGATGGATTCTGGATGATAGATGCATCTTATGCGTGTTTACAAATGCTCTTGCAGCGGCGTAGATAGATAGATAACGTCTATGTGCAAAAATAGTAATAAAAATCCATGCATGTAGTAGTAGTCTACACTACACGGTTTGTATGTAATGCTCTGGGAGAATATCCGACCTGGAATCTTGACTCCCAGTACTGCTGTTGGCGGAAACCTTTCCCCCTCTCCGCTGTACCCCTCGGCTGTTCATACCGTTGGGAATCATGAGTTCGACTTCATCATTACTGGAGGGCGAGCTCGGTCTGGAGTTGTCGTAATCCCAGTGGTCGTCATCGTAATGTTGTTGATTTCGATGACCATGATGATGATACCGATTTCGACTTTGTTTTCGTTTGGCCTGTTGTTTGTTGTTGCGTGAATCGGGTGTCATTTTTTTGTGTGACTGATGAGGATGATATCTGTGGCGTGCATTACTAGAGTGATTTGTCGACGACTCTTGTCGATAGGTATGAATATTGGCAGCCCCTTCAAAGATGTCTTTAAAGTCGACGGTTTCCGATTCGTCAAAATCAAATCGTGCGCAGACTCGTTGATAATTGAGGTATACCTGTCGGCATGTGACAATGGTAATCATCATGCATACCAATGCGGCCTCCCAATGGAGAATGATCCAAACAATGACAATGACACTCCCTAGGGTACACGCCAAGCCAACTCCAAAGACGGCAAAGACACTGGTACGTTCTTCGTACAATCCGTCGGTGGCAGTCATCATGGATCCATCGGGCCCTCGCAGTGCCATTCCAGCCCCCAACACGGAGAGAACAGTGGTCTGCGACACCACGAGCATATTGGCACAAAAGGCACAGGTGATTGTTATGTAATAGAGAAACTTGAGTACTCGTCCAATCATTTCGGGATTCTGATAATACCAATGATATAATAACATGAGTAGAGAATGGAAAAGTAGTTAGTGATCAGGAGAACAGAATAATCGTGGGTATGCAGGCAGAACCGAGATCATGGAAGAATATCATTGCTTGGTTCCATTTGAGCTGGATTGGTTTGGGATGGATTCATTCTCTTTTAATGAAACTTACCCATTCAGAGTTTGGTGGTGGACTGAACTCGACAAACATAGTCATATCCAGGCCTGCCAACACGGCTGCTTGTGTCCCGACCGTCACTATTAAAAAATGCAAACAAGAAACAACCATCAGAATCAGTGACTTGTACTGTACAACACTGCATGTTGGTACAACCAAAGCAAACTTACTCATATTGGAATGATGTAGAGTGAATTCCTTTTCCTTGAGTGCTGTTGCCTGCTGCTTCAGCGAGCTCTGGAGCTGTAACTTGTCGGCCGCCAACATGGTTCCAAAAGAATTTTCTTCCAATTAAATAATTGTACAGATCGGAAGTACCAAACAAACCAGGGATCTCTCTCTCGCTCTCTCACGCACACACAGACACCACAATAAGCAGACTTTGTCACTATTGTTCCCAATCACTCAAACAAATAACAGAGACGATAGTAGGCAGGCCAAGGAATGTGCCAATGGTACCGTAATGGACTCGACTCCGCCCATCTGCAGCTGGCTGGTGTGTGAGCGGTGATGCCGCGGTCATTTCTTTCGCAGTGGCACCACGAAAAGTAACGGCAAAGTGTATTCGGATTTTTTCGAATTGAGTCGAGTCGATTATCGAACAAAAAGATCCAAATCTTTCCATTGCGTGTGCTTAGCTCTTGCACACCCGCTCTTTCTTTGCCTCACAGCTCTCACTCGCGTCAGTTCTTGCTCTGTAATAGTATTGCTGTTGTGATTGACCTGTGATCCTATCCATAATATCAACACTCTTCCTCCTCTTCAGAAAGAGCAAGCGAATTATTATTGTTGATGCAGTAAGAGTATTTGACAATGGGCTTTCTGAGAGTGCCTCAACCAATCCTCCAAAGATGGGTAGCCGGCCGTTCGCTTTGGCCCCTTGGAAATAATCATCGCAGCAATGCATGTAAAGATGTGGGCAGAGCCTTTTACTGTTCGACTGTGAATCCATGGATGGGCTCCAAGCAAAAGGTGGGAATTGGTGGCAACAATTGGTCTCGCATGGATCCATTGCAATATCAACGAGTGATTGCCAAGGGACTGGAACATGGCGTCACCGTCATGGAAGCAGGTCAAGAAGGAGGTGATAAAGCACTGGCAGAAGCGTACCATGCAGCCGTTGCAGCAGCATCACAAGACGACAACAAGGAACCACTGACAGTCACCATGAGAATTGGTTATCGAACCATCATGCCAAATGATGAGGAAAATCAAGCAGCACAACAAGAACCATTCCCGGGAGATGTCTCGGTGGAACAGCATCCCTTTTTAGGCCCCAACCGAACAATGACGCCGCTAGATGAAGATCATCCACCACCATCACCTGCGGCCACTGCGGCAGGGGATAGTAACAACAACAATAGTACAGAAGATGGATCCAACCAAATGATTCAAATCCTGCACAATACCGGACAAGAATACATTCAAAACCAATTGAATACTTCTCCCTTGGTACAAGAATTTCAAAAGAATATTGACAATAACAACTTGCAAGTTGTGGCATTGCTGCACAATCCAGAAGCTCAAATTATGCAAATGGCACAAGATCCAGATATTGATATCAACCAAGTATCCATTGCACAACGACAAGAATTCTTAAAAGACAAATTGATCGATGCATTTTGTGCCATGGAACAGGCAGTCGCCAATCAACAAATATCCGGATACGGAATTGTCAGCAATGGCTTGGTATTGCCGCCAGAACATCCATTGGCATTGGACGTCAACACAATCCTACAAGCAGTACAAGGCACCATGGAACAAATGAATCAACATCAGTGTCATTTATCCGTCATTCAGTTGCCCATTAATCTCATGGAACGAACCGGATTGGACGCGGCACGGGAACTATACGCCAAAGTACAACAACAAGAAGAACCGCACTACTTGAAAGATTCGTTGGAAATATATGCCATGCGTCCCATGACGTGCTATCCCGATCGAGGGACCGGAACCGGACATGCCTTTCGATTGGTCGATTACTTGCTTCCCACGGGGCCACAAGAAGAAGATGAAGACGACAGCAATGATAATGACAAGGATCAGGAGGTCAAGACGGGAGCAGAACAACTAGAAGAACAAGACGTGCCCAAAGAACTCTCGGTGGAAGAATTGGCATCCAAACAATGGTCCAATCAAATGAGTGGGCCACCACTGATCTACTCGATTGCCCTTCGAAAGGCCATGGGACACTTTGATGCCTCGCACCTATTGGAGGAAAAAATGAATCGAGAATTGATCTGCGAAGAACGGGAAACTCTGGATGGATGTCGTTTGCTTCAAAGCATGCTGCACGATTTGGATGTAGGATTGGCCGAAGTGCGATCGTTGGGGGCGCACGAGGAACACCTCTATCAACGCATCATTCCACTCATACACGATACATTCGAAGGATACGACGAAGAAACAGCCGATGTCTTGGAAATGTTCTTCAAATCCTATTCCCTGGCGGTTCGATACTCGATTGCTCGCAACACACGACAGCTGCTTCAAAGTGGTGGAGACGATGGTCAAGGGTATCGCTACGAGGATATCCCTCAAGACGAAAAGCTACAAGACTACGCTCTCAAGTACCTGCTCAAAGAAAAAGCCATTTCCAAGGTGATTGTGGGGGCTACCAAGCCAGAACACGTGGTCGATCTCGTGACATTATGTCATAGATTTGACGATGAACTGGAGAAAGAAGCTGGCGAGAAAGAAGAATAGTGGTAATAACAACAACAAACAAGATAGTTATTGTCGTGCTATCTTTCTGCGGTGCCAATGCGATATGACGGGCCACAAACGTGTCAGCGACATTCCCTGCAACCTCCAGATATAGCGGATGGAATACGCAGCAAAGGAGACCATCGTGTATCGTGTACACGCTGACGGACAAACAGTTTCTGGGTAGCACAAAAGGAGCCTTCCGAGAGCGCCGAGCGACTCGACTCGGGCTGAACAACGGTGTCAGACACCTACCACGGACCAACCCTCGTCTAGGGGTTCATGACCTGGCATAACCGCAGCACTGGACTTGTTCTCTTGCTCCTTATTCACCTCAATCATGGGATGGGGAGGTAGAAACTCTCTCAAGTATGTGTCTCGAATCTCTGGCGACAATTCACTGATAGAAATTGGCTGGATTCGAGGTCGTCGCAGTAGTCGGGGTGATGGGCGGATGAAAATAGGTTGTTGCTCTATTGCAGGTTCAGGCTCCTGTCGCTTGCAGGTTGATTCCTTTTCCATGTTTTCCTTGTTTTCCTCTTCTGATGTAGACGAGGCTTGGATTCCCTCGCCCTGGGCAGACTCTGACGACATGCACCTTTCTTCTTCCTCCGTGGGTGCAGATCCATCCTTTCCACCGCGACGTTTTGCTGGTGCTCCTTCACGAAGTGCTTGACAGGCTTTTTCGGTGGCTCGTCGGTCCCCTGTTGGTGTCATGGCGACAAAGTAAGTGTCGTGATCCGAGGCAAGGGGAGAAGAACGCAAAATTTGTCACCTACCAATGTCGAAATACATGACTTCTCCTTGGGGACCAGGGACATCACATCTGCGAAGGAACCGACCGCCTTTCTTTCGGATGAGCTGAACAACCTCAACAGCTGAAAGCGGGAGTGGCGGGGACGCTTCTGTGAGTTGGTTTGTCATTCTACGTCGCGCCAACAACTCGATTACGAAGACACATCCACGTACCAACGCTGGGTTTGTCCCGTTTCTTGGCCTTCAAGTATTGAGGCTGGAACTTCTTGACCATGGCTCGAAACGCACGGTTGCCGGCTACATCAAGCGAATGGGTGAGAGAAGCTGCTTTGCATGGAGATTGCCTGGCGTGGCTTGGGCTACTTACAATGACAATTTGTGGCGCCACCTCTTCCGCTCAGAACTGGGGCAACACAAGAAAGCATGGAGAATCATGGAGTGAGCTGAAGTTCGACTTTTCCTTCTCTCCGTTTTGCTGGCAGACTTACCATCAGTCGGCCTCACGTCATGAACGTATTGAATTGTTGGTTGGGGAGGCCAAGGGTATCCGTGGTGATATCCAGGATGAGGTGGCCCGGGGGGCATCATGGGATAACTGTAGTAATGTGGGTGTGGAGAGTGATTCGAATGATGATGCGTCGGTGGTGGTGCTGCAGAGTCTCTCGAAGGAGGATGGGCTCCGTACGGATACGGTGGGGGCATACTCCCGCTCTGGGAATGAGAGCTCCCACTAGACTCAAAGGAGGAAGAATGCGAATGCGTGTTGTCAGTGTACGACGATGTTGGATACGATGGCGGGGAAGGACCCTGCTGAGTGCTGCCATAAGGATGGCTGTTATCCGAAGACGATCCCGGCTGCAGATGCGGATGTGGCTGGTGAGGCGATGCAGCCGAAGTTGGAGGATAGTATCCATGGGCATGCGGAGGCGGTGGATAGTGATGGTAGTGAGGTGGGGGAGGCCCGTAGTGTGCAGGATCATACGACGAATGTTCAGCTGGAGGCTCCATGATTTGATGATCCGTCGAGTGCGCAATTCGAATTTCAAAACTTGCAGTGTGGCAATCTGTTTGGAAGAAGTAAGTTGTGAGCCAGAGAAAAATTGAAAATCGTCTTGACTCGATTTCCTTGATCGTGGAGACCGATGCTACTCCTTTCTCGATAACGTGCTGACAAAGACTCCACTCCCACATGAGGATGATCGTAATATCGTTATGTCAACCTTCAGATAGCAATGCGCAACGGATCAATCCATCGTGACGAGGCCGATCTGCATCAGCGTGGAGACTCGACTCACAGATCAGTCCATCACGCTTATCCGAGTTTGTGCACGACGGCCCCCCGAACAAGCCTCTCTCGGTTGGGTGCTCAAGAGGTGCACGGGCTCTGAAATGACGCTTTAACAGTACATCACGAGCTTGGCCACTGGCCGTTTTCTACGGGGGTACCAGTACAAGCACGACGACAACTCGTTGCTAGAATGCCACTTTCACCATTGGATTGAATCATTCTTCCAAAAATAGAACCAGTTTCTATCAGATCTTTTTACTACTGCCTGTCGAACCGCCGTCTCTGGGCAAGATCAAATCCTGCAGGGCAGCCAGCCTGTTGTTTGTTGACTTTTTTCGTTGTTGCTTTTCGCAATTTACTTAGGTCTTCATCTTTTTCTTTGCTATCTTTTCGGCATACCGTTCCTTGGCTTCAGTGGCGAGTTCGGGCAGCGTTCCCAACTTGGCTAATCCCTTGATGATTTCCATACACAGCGGGACATAGTTGTGACGACGTTGTTGATTCTCCCGTTTCCACTGTTCTCGCTTTGCATCTTGTGCCGCCAAGGAGGCTACCACTTCGGAGTGTTCCGCTGCCTTATCATTGTCGTTTTCTAGTTCTCCCAATTTTCGCTTCAATTCCAGTCTCTGATCCTGAATGACGGCCATGAGATTGAATTTGATTTCCGGCGAGGCATTCATTCGTTCCTGAATGGCTTCTCGCGCGACGGCCAACCAACTAGTGGGTTCCCCGGCCGAGAAGGTTCCAACCGGGATGGGTCCCTTTTGCAAGCCATCCAATTCGTAGACGGTCCCATCCAAGGGGATGTAGCTGACAAAATGAAACGCTTCTTCGTCTCCCGTGGGGATGTGGAATCGTCCTTCCTGCAAAAAGGCATCTTGTTTTTTGAAGGAATTGTGGGCCTTTCGTATTTCGTCACTCGACGCAATGGCATCTCCCTTGAGAGACGGTGGAAAAGTCATTGTGAAGGAATGGAATTCCGCCAAGGTGGGTCCCAGCTGTTCGGGTGTCAAGCCAGCATTCATCACCACGCTCAGAATGGCTTGGGTAGCGCACTGTACCATCCATTCATTCATTCAATAATAAAATAATTGTCACGTATCGTATACCCAAAGAAATGGAGGAGAAAAACAATTAATCATGGGTAGATAAGTAAGATAATGACACAGAAAACACAACATCAGAATCTGCTGAATATCGCGACATGATAATAATAATGTCAAACACGACGACAGCCACTGCACTCACAGCATTGGTCATGGTCTGATGTGCAAAAAATAGATTGGGAGGAATGACATCTTCGCTCAGGGGTTCTCGTGGTTTCGCCGATGGAGACGCAGGAGGTTTGTTCTTCTTGCTCTCCCATTTGAACAAGAAAATCAAACCATAGACAGCGCCCGTAGAGTGAAGAGTCATCAACGTTTCTTCGTCCAAACTCCACAACTCTTCCAACTCGACATGTTTGCACCCAACCTCTTCCAGGACCTCCGAAAACACGCCTGGATCAGACTCGATCGTACACCACTCTTCACCTCCTTCTGCCATCTTACTTATTTATTGCTTGCTGGATAGATAGATCGATGTTGCTGTGGTTGTTCGCAAAGATTGAATATGTCGGCGTCGGAAGCACGTTGCACGCTCCATGGATGGAGACACGGAGACACCACCGACCGCCGACCTCAAGTTTTCGGGAGACGGCCAGACGATATCTTTCACCGTGTCAACACCGCCAGAGCTGTTGTGCTACATGTACAGGACGGGAGCAGGTATCTGCTACAAAGTACATCTACAATGTCATGTAGTCTAGAGTTAGCCAGTATCGTAGAATCCATCAGGTAACTCCTCCCACCCAGTACCGTAGCTAGCTAGAGCAGTACCGAGGTATACGCAAGCCAGTAGCTAGACATCTACCCCTGGAAGAATGTCAACTTTCCAGTCCATGCATGGCTTCCTCCTGAAACAGCCAAGGTTGACCAGGAAGATTGTGGAAGCTTTGGACAGTGCCCTCAGCGAGGCTGCTTGGGTAGTGGCAGGCCCTGATGTAGCAGGAAAGGTCCCAACCATGGATCAATCCAATAGTGACTGCAACCATGCTAGCCTCATAGGAATGCTCCACTACTTGAAACGGCATGCCAGGCCTGATATCCATTACATGGCCAACAAGCACTTGGACCAATTCGCCAAACCTCCAAAGACTACTAGGCTAGAGGAAGCATCCTTGGAGTGAATCCACCAGTATCTGGAAGCAACCATGGACAAGGGGCTGGTTCTTTGGTGCACTCTTGCAAATGTTGATGCTATGTTTCCAACCACCATCACAACCAAATCAATGGCAGCCTTGAATTTGAATTCATCATTGTTTGGACAACATCAAACCAATCCTGACATCCAATATGCAATCATCGCCACCGGCAATCTACGCCACTGCTTTGGGGTCCAGACCTATGGACAACTTCGTACAGAGGAAACCATGAACTGCATCCGGAGTGACAACGCTCAGGCTCAGACAAGTAAGCAGGTCAAGGATATCCTGTGGACTTTCTGCATCAGTGACCACACCTCCGAGCCATACAGGGGCAACCAGAACTATGCGGAGCATGGCTGGAAGGACACCAAGATCAAGACCCAACTGGCTGGTGCTGGACACCAAGAATGCACCTTCCAAGTGTTGGCTACAGGCAGGTCAGTACGTTACCACCTTGCAGAACCACTTGGCATACGAGAGCCTTGGATGGAGGACACCCTTTGAATGGCTGCATGGATACATGCCCGACATCTCCGCTCTCCTCCAGTTCGAGTTTTACGAGCCGGTGTACTACCAGAAGTACGACGCAAAGTTCCCACAGGACTCAACTGAGTGTGTGGGGAGGTTCAATGGGGTTTCAGAGTATGTTGGTCACGGAATGACATATAAGATCTTGACAGAGGATGACAAAGTCATCCACCGGGCTGTTGTCCGAACGGCAAGGCTCGGCAATGAGTTCACTAAGAAGGCAGGCACCCAAGCTTGCACCCAAGCCGAAGCCATTGCGACAATACCATTGTGTACTGATTAATCTAACGATCTAAGAGATGTAAAGTTTGTATTTCCAAATAAGTGAGCAGTTATTGATTATTTTCTAGAATAAGCCTGCAAATAGTAAAGCTGTAAAGCTGAATTGTAAGCTGTATCCCGTCGCACTCCCTTACAGCTGAAATGAAGCTGCCGCAAGAAACGATAGGAGAGAGTCCCCAGCGAAGTGCTGAGGTAAATTACCACCCCATGAGGAGCTTTCGAATGACCGCAAACTGTGGAGCCGGAAGACCCTTAGTGAAAATGTCGGCCCGTTGTTCCAGAGTCGGAATGTACTTGGCCACGATGCCCTTCGACTCCCCGATATTTGACCTAAAGAAGTGGTACTTTAATGCCAAATACTTGTTGCGGGCTGACATCTTGGGAACATTCACAAGAGACAGGCACCTTGGTTGTCTTCGAACACTGTAGAGCGCACTAGACTGTCAGTAATTACGGGCATGTTCAGTTTGTTACCAATTTCTTTGAGCAAGGCTCGCATAGGAAGCAGCTCCCTCATTGACATGCTGAAGGCAACATACTCAAGCAGGAGCAGTGGAGCTCAAAGTAATGTCAGTCTGCAGTTGCTGGACCAAGATAGGGCACACAAACAAAGTCAAGACAAAACCAGTGCGAGACTTGACGGATACAGGATCCTGATCATACTCATATCCATACTAACCCGCGAGTCAGCATCCACCCAACAATCAAGTCCTTATCAAGCTAGGGCTAAACAAATGCTTTGTTTCACTTGTGCCAATCAATAACGAATGATCTTTTGATGCTTGAAGCATGGGCAATGCTTGGGTTTGTGGCTGAATCTTGCCACCTGATGTACACTAAAGTGTATGTCTGGGCTGAGTGTTGGATCAATGTAAACCTAGCATCCCAACTGCAGCTGGATAGCTCCACTCTTCTTCAATGGGGCCCACGCAGTTTGTCAGCGCCGAGCGGATCGGTGGCACAGGAGAAGCTTAGAGCTGGCTTAAGACATGCAGTGTATTCAATAACCTTGTGATGAGCCCTTTTGAGTCAATTCAGACATTGTCTCCCTGTCTTTCAAAAGTTATAGCCCAGGGAACCAAAGATGTCTCCCTTGTCTTCCTATGTGTGAGATCATATCCAACTTCTGGAGCTGTCCAACATAGGACTCAATCAATCATTGTTCCGGGCTGAGCCAGATTGGTCATCATAATAATTTAATACCATGATTGATGCTCCTAATGAATAAATAAACAGGGGTTCTGCTCTGAGGTTTCTGAACCAAGTTGGATCATCCACGTGACATAGATGCTCATAGAATAATTTGGGTGATATCGGTCTGCCCATAGATAGACTTGTCAAGTTTCAAACAACACGGTCCTGTCCTTCATAATCTTGGTGTCGATAGTACTGAGGCAATCATGTACAATGGCTGATCGGCATGGCTGAGGACTCTGACTAGAAGGCGAAGAGTAAATTATCAACTTGTCTCGATTCCCATCCGTGTGCAGCATGCTAGAAGAGACCGCTCTAACAGTGGGCCAACCATAAGTGGAGAATATGCGGTGCCTTCTATTGGACTGAGGTCACCTCTGCAGCACCATCTAGATTTGGAACTTGTTCATTGGCCATCTGGTAACCTCTTGATTCGTTGTACCCATGTTCCCGGGACTGCCTTGAGGTGTGAGGGCATCGAAGACCGTTGTACGATTGCCAAGTTCCCTTTGCCTTAAAGACTGGCAATTTCTTTGTACATTGCTGCCCAGAAGTGGCTGACATGTGGTCCCATCAGAGATTCCTTCAGAGATGGGAGATCGGGGTCTTGGAAAAGTTTTGTCTTGACGAGCCAGTGGCTTTGAACGAATGCCAGGATGAAACGATTCCTGGGTTTTGTCAAGGGTAAATATCCATGTTACCTGAGCTTGCAGCAGTGTGCCCTGAAATTGGAGTGTATTCCAAAGGTCATAGCTTAACCACAACTGAGCAGGGTTGAAGGGCGTGCATAAGTCATTCCAGTTTTGGGTCCATGTTCATGAATCTCAGGCTTCTTGTTGTGAGCTGTCCTACGGGATTCCGACGTGGGGCAGAGACAGGGATTGCCTCCGATGGGAACATCTGTGGTGGGAGGCTACGATGGGAGGTTCCCTTTGTCCACAGACGAAGGCAATTGTTGGGTCTGAATCAATGGTGGACGGTCTGGAATCTCCCTGTTGAAACCTGGGGCTGTGCTGGAGACGGAGCTTGAAAATGTAGATCATCCTTTTTGTATTTGCTCTTTTCAGTCCTTCCATAACTTTCTCCGCTTGTCGAAGCTTATGAAGATGAATCGGTGTTGGTTGATGGCCTTTCCCTCTGGACGTAAAGCCCATCGTCTGCTAAGGGAGGTGGAGTTGTCGCTCATCAAAGTAGGGTCTCGGAGCGTTGGAAGTATGCACATGTGGTCCACTCTGGAGGTGGTTGATCTTCTGAAAGTAAACTGTGTTCAAACCATCATCATTGACAAGATGGTACTGGGGAAAGGTTATCCGGTTGTAAGGTTTCGGATCAACCCAACATTTTCTGAATGTACAGGTGAGGTGCCAACATTTGGCCTCTCCTGGACCTGGGCTGCCCATTTTGGAATCTTCCCCTTCACTTGTAAGCCGGGGTTCCAAAAAATATGTAGGGCATCCCCAGGATGTGCATTTCTGATGACTCTGACAATCACTGACGTTATGGAAAATATCAAATGGGAGCAATGCTCAGTACTGAATTGTAGTGTGGTTTTAAAGGTGCGCTGCATGAGAACTGCCAAGGTGCCAAACAGGTATTCATCATCAACTTCCGCGCCATAGAAGTTGAG